TCTCTCGCTGAAAAAAAACCGCTTGTCGAGGGAAGGACACGGTCGGGACAGGTTTTTCTTCGAACTATAGGTCATTTATTTTTGGGAAACTTCCGCCGCCGGCTTGCCCGGGTCTATGTTATCCATAGTATATCATCCATAGTCAATGATATACTATGGATGATGTATTATCATCGCAGGAAGTTTAGAAGTCAAACTTCCGACAATATGGAGAGATGAAAAGCAGAGCAGGGAAGAGGCATAGAGAAGAGAAAGATTAGAAGAGAAAGAGTAAGAAGACAGAAGATTCAGATGCGCGAAAAGGTAGGAAAGTCGCGAAACACTGTGTTTTTCTAATGATTTGTGGCTCCGGAGGGTCGAAAAGTAGGCTCGCTAAAGCGACGGGTGCGGAGCCAGCTGGCTAGATGAGAGATGAAAAATTGCACGCCGTTGTGGCGCGAAGCACATTTCCAAGTGAAAATGTACAAAACACACCATTCTCGGACCACTTTTGGAAGTTGCGATGTCGAAAAAGTGCATGCCGTTGTGGCGCGAAGCACATTTCCAAGTCAAAATGTACAAAACACCTCAGCTTCGGACCACTTTTGGAAGTTGAGATGTTGAAAAAGTGCACGCCGTTGTGGCGCGAAGCACATTTCCAAGTCAAAATGTACAAAACACCCCATTCTCGGACCACTTTTTGAAGTTCAGATGTCGAAAAAGTGCACGCCGTTGTGGCGCGAAGCACATTTCGAAGTCAAAAGTGTTAAAAACTGACGGTCTCGGACCACTTTTGGAGGTTCAGATGTCGAAAAAGTGTCGAAAAAGTGCACGCCGTTGTGGCGCGAAGCACATTTCGAAGTCAAAAGTGTAAAAAACTGAGTGTTTTGAGCCTTTTTTGACGTGCTGATGTCGAAAAAGTAGACACTGATTAACTTAACTAACTTGACTAACTTAAGTAACTTCACTAACACGAATACCCTAACTTCGACGACAACAACAACAACTACAACTACAACTACAATAGATCGATAGATGGAGAGATAGAGAGATAGATAGATAGATAGATAGGTACATAGATAGATAGATAGATAGATAGATACATAGATACATAGATAGATAGATAGATAGGTAGATAGATGGATCGATAGATAGATAGATAGATAGATAGATTAGATAGATTAGATAGATAGATAGATAGATAGATAGGTAGGTAGGTAGGTAGGTAGGTAGGTAGGTAGATAGTCAGAGAAAGAGATAGAAAGAGTGAGAGAGATCAAGCACCTTTCAATCCATCAGTGGCTTCGCTCTGCCATCCCTGATTCACAACAACCAACCTCTCCTATAGGTTTCCTATTTTTGAAACTTCCGCCACCGCCTTGTGCGGTACTACTGGTAGTACAAAGTAGTACTGGGAAGTGTTTTGTGCAAGCTTTGTAGTACAAAGTAGTACTGGGAAGTGCTTTGTTCAAGCTTTGTAGTACAAAGTAGTACTGGAACGTGTTTTGTGCAAGCTTTGTAGTACACAGTAGTACTGGGAAGTGCTTTGTGCAAGCTTTGTAGTACAAAGTAGTACTGGGAAGTGGTTTTTGCAAGCTTTTGTAGTAGACATCAGTACTAGTACTTGACATGAAAATAGATAAGAAGAATTTAGCTGACATATGGGAAGACATGGAATGAGATGAAAAGAGCTCAGATGAGATGAGTTGAGATGAAGTGCAAGTGTGAAGTGTGGAGTGTGGGGTGTGAAGAGTGCAATGTGAAGTTTGAGGAAAGTGTTTGCATTGTACCCGGGTCGCGCGCAGGTCATGTTCTTGGACAACAACACTGCAACAGCTTCGCACAAAGCACGCACGCACAGGCCTGGCTGGCGCACTGTGCATGCAAGTTCCTTTGTAGTAGTACTGGGAAGTGATTCATGAAAGCTTAGATGACATATGAGAAGAGATGAGATGAGAAGAGCCAAGCTGGGATAAGGTGAGAAGAGCTCAGATGAGATGAAGTGTGGGGTGTGAAGAGTGCAGTGTGAAGTGTGGGGCGTGAAGAGTGCAGTGTGAAGTGTGGAGGAAGCAGTGAGAAGTGAGAAGTGTGAAGTGTGGACTGTGAAGTGTGGACTGTGAAGTGTGAAGTTTGGAGTGCGAAGAGTGCAGTGTGAAGTGAAGTGTTGACTGCGAAGGGTGCAGTGTGAAGAGTGCAGTGTGAAGTGTGTAGTGTGGAGTGTGAAGACTGTCAAGTGTGAAGTGTGACGTGGAGCTTGAAATTTGACATGTGAAACAAGACACCAGTTTCGCAGAGTGTACGCACGCATGGGCTTGGCTGGCGCATGGCGCATGCAAGTTCTATAGATGAGAAAGGTCTTATATATATCTTTAAGGCAACTTCCGCCCCGCCTCGTGCGGGTACTAGTGGTATATATATATATATGTATATATATATATATGTATGTATATATATATATGTATGTATATATATATATATATGTATATATATATATTATATATATATCCCTAAGGCAACTTCCGCTCCGCCTCGTGCGGGTACCACTGGTAATTTAATTCAATTGACCTGCAAGCTCATTAAACTCAAAACTTGTCTTGTCTTAACCTTTACCGCCCTCATTTTTTCATTTTTTCCTCCTTTTCCATCGAAAAGAAACCAGATAAATCTAAACCCCACCTTTCCGGACACCATTCAGGACTTGAGGAAAAAACTCCACCTGACCGAAGGAAGGGCGCAGAAGGAAGACCTGAGGAAGAAGACAGGGAAAAAAAAAGCAGCAAGGGAGGAAGCAGGTCCGGAAGACGCTAGCCGCTGAGAGTTCTTGGAGGCACGGCTTTGTCGGTCAAGGAGTCAAGCACTTCAGTAGCTCCAAACTTTCTTTCATTTTCTATGAATTGTCGAAGGAAGTTTAGAAGTCAAACTAGTTTCAATATGGACAGATGAAAAGCAGGGCAGGGCAGAGGCAGAGAGAAGAGAAAGAGTAGAAGAGAAAGAGTAAGAAGAAAGAAGATGCAGATGCGAGAAAAGGTAGGAAAGTCGCGAAACACTGTGTTTTTCCATTGATTTGTGGCTCCGGAGGGTCGAAAAGTAGGCTCGCTAAAGCGGCGAGTGCGGAGCCAGCTGGCCAGATGAGAGATGACAAATTGCACGCCGTTGTGGCGCGAAGCACATTTCCAAGTGAAAATGTACAAAACACACCATTCTCGGACCACTTTTGGAAGTCGAGATGTCGAAAAAGTGCACGCCGTTGTGGCGCGAAGCACATTTCAAAGTCAAAATGTACAAAACACCTCAGCTTCGGACCACTTTTGGAGGTTCAGATGCCGAAAAAATGCATGTCGTTGTGGCGCCAAGCACATGTCGAAGTCAAAATGTTAAAAACACCAGGGGATCGGACCACTTTTGGAGGTTCAGATGTCGCTTCGCTTCGCTTCACTCCACTACACTACACTACATTACACTACATTCCACAACACTACAACTACACTAAATTACACTACACTACATTACACTACATTACCTTCCACCACACTTCACTGCATTACACTACACTACACTCAACTGCACTACAACTACACCTACGATTACACAACTACACTCCACTACACGAAACTACACTACACTACATTCCACTACACTCCACTACACTACATTACACTACACTACATTACACTGAATGACACTGCACCACAGATAGACAGGTAGACATTAACAGATAGATAGATAGATAGATAGATGGATAGATAGATGGATAGATAGATGGACAGATAGACAGGTAGACAGCCAGACAGATAGACAGATGAAAGAGAAAGAGAGAGAGAGATAGATAGATAGATAGACAGACAGATAGATCGATAGATAGATACATAGAAGATAGGTAGGTAGGTAGATAGTCAGTCAGAGAAAGAGAGAAAGAGAGGAAACCTCAAGCACCTTTCGGTCCATCAGTGAACACAACAACCAATCTCTCCTATAGGTTTCCTATTTTTGAAACTTCCGCCACCGCCTTGTGCGGTACTACTGGAAATATAATCATAATACTATTGTCATATAATATATCATCCATCAAACATGCCACCCGAAGAAACTCTTGTACCCGCTTGCTGTGGTCCCACATGATGGCTGAGGTGGGTTTTATTAATTGGGGGTGGCCCACTTTAATTGAGAGGGGGACGCCACTATTGGGGGGTACCCTTTGCGAGCTTCCAAAATTATTTTTCTAGGCAACAAGCAATAAGAACTTGATGATTTCGGGAATATGTTCTTAGAAAAAATACGGGTCTTTTTGGGTTAAACCACCCCGTGACAGATCAAACAACCCCAATTAAAGTAGAAGGGAATACTACTAGGTTAATATCACCAAACATGTGGGGTTTTCAGGGCATGGTTGATTAGTGGGGGAGAATTTTTTTTTTTGGGGGGGGGGAAACCACCGAATTGACCCTAAAATCGGGGAGAGCCGGGGTATGGTTAATTGGAGGGGAATTATTAATTTTAACTTGACATTAAGAATTTTTGCCCACCCCAGCAAGCATCCTTCCCAGGTTGTTTTGAAGTGAAAGTATACAGGAATCAACCACATGTCATGGTAAGTGTAAGAACCATGGTTTCCTGCACGTTTGTTCCCATCAACCTGCGAATTCCAAACCTGTTCTTCAAATCTGTTTGACAAGCTAGGTCCCCATGTCCCCATGTCCCCTAGGTTCAAGCCTAGACCTCGCATGTTTCCCCAACGCATAGGTTGGTCGATGTTCCCTGGGATCCCGTTGAAATCACCATTTGTAAATCGGAATCCGATTGCTGGGAACAACACGTAAATTTAAAAACCCATGATTTCCTGATGGATGATATATTACCTTCTGGTAAACTAACATAGCTATAGAAAAACACAATTTTTAATAGGTAAACCATCTATAAATGGACCATTTTCCATAGCTATGTTAGTTTACCAGAGGGTATATGATTTTTTCCCCACAAAAAAAAAACATAGACCAAGCCAGGCCCACCTAGTGCCGTACTCAGGACGACGGTGCAGTTGTCCTTCGCGATGGCCGGGTGTTACAGCAGCGATGTGCTCTCATGGCAGGTGAGGGACAGCTTTTGGCGACGTGACGTTGTCCAAGGGTCCAAAAAGAGAGGGATTCTATACCCATTATTATATAGGCCAATATAAACCCACTATTGATTATATATCCACTATAGTCCATATATTATAAATAGGGAGTAGTTTTTGGAATATTGATAATATTGTCCATTTGTACTATAGGACATGGTTTCATAGTGTATTATAGTGTAAATGTACTATCCATATTTGTTCTTATGTGTACTACAATTCCACTACACTATAGTGTACTAATTATCCATATTTGTACGACTAAGAGTGTACTATAGGCTCTATTTTTAGCATGTGAATGTTTTTTGAGAAAGTTGGGCAGAATAGGTTTCATCATCTAGTCGCAAGCTCTAGATACCGATAGTAAACTATTTACTAGTTAGTTTGACAACCTATAGTGACTAATTTGGGATAAACCCAGTTGTAGATCATCACCTAGTTAAATCTATACCCACAGAATGACATATTTCCAAGACTGTAGTGAAGATTGGGATTAAGCACTGGTTATAATGCAATGTAGTGGGAAAGAAAACATCCACAAAGCGGCAATTTAATGGGCAAGACAGCTATAGGATGGAATAGATGATATTTACCCTATGGCCTATACTTTCAAGTTTTCCAACTTTTCTATTTGGGGTTGCCATGTAGTGCAGATTGGGATATGGCCAGCAAAAAACTGATGTATCTAGCTGAACAAGATCGACGTCAAAAAGATCTCACTGGAATGATGTATGGAATTCAGCAAGCATCATGATGGAGGTGTAAAACAAACAGACAGACAACCAATCAAACAAGCAAGCAAACAAACAAAAAACAATCACTTGATTGGGATATGGGATGTAGTTATTCAATATTAGTAGCCTTCAGCAGAGTAACATACATAGATATGTTATGGAACATCGACCTTGAAATGGCCAGGTGCATGTTGATTATATCTACATATGACATGCGTAAATTGTGAAACTTATTGACCACCCCAAAAATTGTCCAATCGAATTTTGTGTGTTTGACCAAGAGTCCAAACTGATTGACAGATCACATGGATCCCTAGACAGTTTTTCATGGGGTCTTAAGAATCGCTAGAATTACCCTCCGGTGTCATCAAACATGGCAATGGGAAATCCTAAATTTATTGGTGATTTCCGGTTCAAACCTCCGTTTGTATGGGCTTTCCCGTTGCCACGTTGGACTACCTCTGCGGGTAATTTTTGGATGTGTCCAACGATAAACTGACGACTGTAACGCTCTCATTTTAGTCCTGAGGTCAAACGGTAATGATGCACATCACAAAGGTTGTTGCAGCCCATCACAAAGGATCTTTTTATGGACAGTCCACCAGATTTGGATATTGGGATTTGGCAAAAAGACCACGTGTTTTCTGCCAATGTTTCCCCTGAGCAAACCCTGCAAAATGCTACGTTTATGTGTCTGGGTCAAACTCCGTTTTTTGGTTAGATAACTTCAGATCCCGGTGTTTGATTGCGTGTTTCTCAATTTTCATGTCAGATCCCGGCATTATAATTTTGGGGTCCCTCAGCCTATCATCCCATTTTTTTTTGATCATGGTTTCATGTAACCAGCCCCAAATAGGGCACTAAAATGGGTCCCTTGTTGAAACCGGCCTTCGGGGTCCAAATTTTCGCCAGGGCTTAGTGGAGATCTCTTGGGTCACGCAGTTGCCAGCTATGGCTACTTGGTGGAGCTGAAGAGAGGCAGAGAAGTCTTCCTGGTTAGTGGTTAATCATGGTTAATAATGGTTGATCATGGTTGAGAATGAGAGAATATTATCTGGTAGGTGCTTTTGAACCATGAAATTTGGATTATGACGTTCCATTCAGTTGGGAATTTCATCATCCCCACTGACGAAGTCATATTTTTCAGAGGGGTAGGTATACCACCAACCAGAAATACAGTAGTTGCTCAAACTTCGTCAAATATGGTTTTTCAGATATGGTCCAACAGTAGGGTCTGAAGAGATAATGTTGAATTGAATCCCAGTCTAAAAACCATTTAAGAAAGTGTGGTATTTGATCATTCCACACAATCATCACACAAGCAAAACAATGGGAGTGCGAAGACTCTGCCAATGCCATACCCAGATGCCAGACTGTTTGGATCCAAACTCGGTTTATTTGGAATATCAGGACCCTAAAATCTAAGGTACTACCATATAAAGCATTTTTTGGGGAGATATATTATATTCCCTTATAAAGGCCTTATATATGCTAGGTACCTCCAAGAAATCACTCCCTGAAATGGTCACGGATTATTTCCAGTGGGATGCATGACATTAGAAATGGGTTTCACGAGATGGGACCCCCACGTGGTTTTCATGTAGATGAAATAATGAAACCTCCCATTTCTGGGTGAAGAGAAGTGTTTTCTCACAAAATGACTCACACTTCAGCGAGCTAATGGTCGCGCTTTCCTACTGCTGAAAAAATCAGAATTTCTTCGTTGCAGGGCAAGAACATGATCTTTTTCTGTACTTGGGGGTGCAGTTGGGGTTAATGGTAACAACCCCTGTAAGTTGGGGAAAAGGCCCCTACAGCTCTGTTTTTTTTCATCTGCTTAAAAGTGGAACTGCCCCCAAAGAATATGCTGCTATACCAATTGCTGCACGGATGTTCGCCAATCATTCCGCATGCAAATGCCCATTTCTGGGTTGACATACCAGGAATTTTGTCTATTTCCCCATGCTGCAGGGATCCAAAAATACTCTTTGGCACTTCAATAAATGTTTAACTAACCATTCAAAAGTGGTGTTCTTAGTGGACATGTGACGACCCAATTGGGATGTTATATAGCTGCTGAATCATGGTACTGAAGGCTGCCACAGACCCAGAAAGGATGGTCTCAATCCGGCGGAGCTGGCGAAAACGGCCTTAGATGACGCAGTCTCTGTTTTTTTGGTATCCTTTAGAGAGCCATTCGTTAACCATGACGGGCGTTGGAACTGCTGACAGCTTCGCTGGAACCATGCTGGAATGCTACGCGAGGGTTTAGCCCAATTACCCTTTCTCGAATCAAAGAAATCGGCTTTGCGTGGTCTCATCCCGCACTGGCGGCTCAGCGCCATGGGTGCGTTCCCTGTCGGGGACACCCTGGACATTCTCTCGCTGGAGATCCAAACTATGGACATTCTCTCGCTGGAGATCCAAACTATGCCGCGGTTCCCAGAACTTCATCCCGCCTCCCATGGCCTCCAAAGATGCAGGCGGAGTAGGCGGAGAAGCGCCGTCAGGCGCAGTTTCCCGACCATATTTTTCTTGGTCAGCCGAGCTGATGGACGTGAACTAAATCATCAGTCATAACATCTGGCAATCTGCCACAACGATAAAAAATGGAAGGAACCTTTCTTGAACAAAACAAAAAACTCATTTGTGGCTTAAAAAGATGCCTACAATGACTACAAATAAGCTTGAATAAGACATAAAAAGACCTCATCAGACCTAATTTTCGGACTTCTTGAGGATATCATGGCGGAAAAGAGCTTCGATATGGCAGAGCTCTTCTGTAGTAACCTTCCTAGGCAACGGGCTCAAGTCAAACAACTGCTTCCGTTTGAACAGGGCTCCGAAGCGGGTCCAAGATGTCACTGCTCGCAGTGTCCAAGCAACCAATGTAGACTGTAGACCAAAGAACTTCCACCATGTGTCTATGATTTTCCACCAATGTGTAGTTATTCCGAAGACTGGTGAAATGGTGGTTCTTTTCTTCTTGTTTGGGACTATCCGCTCTGAAACTAAATCGACCCTTTGGTTATCAAACGTGCCTTTAGTTCGATGATTTTCCCAGCTATAAACCTCTATTTACTTCGGGGATTTCCCAGCGAGCCATGTTTGATTTTTCACTCTCGACTCTCGACGATCCATCGGTGGTAGGGAATAAGCTAATGTAAAGAATTTGATCCCAACAGAAATTACGCAAAACATTCTTGATTTTAATTGTCCGTGTTTTTCAACCTTCAGAAATGTGGATTAAATTTTAAGGTTGCCACATTATATTCCAGCACAGTGCACCCATTGAAAGTAAATGGAATAGCATTGCAAAAAACTCGAAACCAACTTTTACAACATTCAGGATTACTTGATGCAATAAACCATTTCGATGTTGGAAGAAAACTAAATCACTTCATCATCACGTATTGGTTCCATGGGACTTACGCCCTGGTAAGGGCACATGGTTGGCTCGAAAACCCTCGTTTAGTTCGCTGGTATTAAATCACATTTAGTTCAATGATGTTCTATGATCATTACCAAAGGGTATCCCGTTAAATGCCCCACTCAGAATCATGAACTAAACCGATATGAAGCCATGAATCTGCAATTTTTAATGACACCAGAGGCTATCACAACAACAAACAGCCACAGTTCACCTGTCCGCTGCATCACTCCAAGGCTTTTGGCGGCTTCATGGGCCTCTCATTCCTACTGTTGTCACTTGGCAGCAGCATGACACCAGGGACACTGTGACATTTGTTGGTAGGTTCTACTTTGGAGTGGTTTATATATAATCTATATGTATAGCTGGGGAATTGCTGGGGATATTCATGGGTATTCCATACATGTATAGCATTATATAACTGGGGTGTAGCATGGTTATTACCTACCTAGTAACTGGGATGCAAAACCAAGTAGAGTCCACCAATCCGGGCGATATCAACGTCACCTTGAATGGTCACAGTAAGTGGAATCATCCCCCGAAAAAAATCCAGTGTAGGAGTACTGAGTCATGTTGGGATTTTCCCCAGATTGATCTCCATTGATATCCGTTGTTGGCTTTTCTTTTTTCTTGGCTCCCATAAATCGACATTTCGTCACTGAGAATGCTGCTAACCGCCACTATTTGCTATGCGTCCCACAATGGCTGAATTCCCCATGTTTGTTGGTTGTCAAGGGTTTATACCATTTTATTGTTTCTAGGACAGATATGGACAGATGATTGACATATTGTCATGATGTTGATCTTCATTTAAGATTCCATGTCTTCCTGTTTAAAACCGCTGATCATTGATCCAGCTATCAGCTTTGATGTTTTACCTAGTTTCCTTGAGACCACTTTCCTTGATCCAAACACAGCATCGTACCGGGTGAAACCTCCAGTTCTGTTGTTCAAACCGCTTCAGCTTGGGGTCCAAAGATCTGACCAAGTGCCATCATGAAGGATACATTCCTGGCCTCCTTAAATGGGATGATGATCAGTCATGGAATGTTGAAGTACCCAACCCATTATAGTGATTTATAGTGTTGGTTGCTTTTGCCTTGCTACATTCGCATTATTGGTGTTGATGCTCGCGTGTCTCCCCATGTCTGTTTTGGTCCCCACGACTTTTTAATGTTGGTTATACAACTAAATCCTCTATTGATGATATTCCCTATGACTGTGGTCATGTTAGTAATTCCTATCTTTGCCTGCTTAAATCCAATTGCTTTGCTAGCAATCCCATATGACCAATGGTAACTAATGCAAGAATGGGAATACAATGGAACTATATAATGTTTTGTGTACTGCTGATTGAATGGTAAATTCATGTTAATTAATCGTTGTTTTCTCAGTGTCTCAGATCGGGTCAAATGTTCTTCCACCTTTTATAGTGCCAAAGCTCAACAGCCCGGAGCGTCCAGGTTTTGCCTCTGCTGCAGTTCCCCTCCACCGCTGCCCTTGCTGGAACTGGCGCGGGGCGAATCTTCGCAGAGACCGCCTAAGAGGAGGAAGTCGTTGCGTTGGGTGCGGGTTTTCACCAAGTGGCTGTAAACGGGGAGTATAACTATATATATATGTATATATATGTATATATGTATATATATGTATATATGTATATACTCAGATTCAACCAACAATGATTATATAGATTTATGGGGAGTTTAAGTCAGATTGAACCAAGAAGAATTGGATTTTGGGAAGTACAACTATATGATTAAGCCAACAAGAATGAGATTTGAGCAGCTAAATATGGGGAAAAAATGTGTTTTGGGAATGACGTATCACGTACAAAAAGGTGGTTTGGAACATGTTTTTATTTTTCCATGGGAATAATCATCCCAACTGACGAACTTATATTTTTGGGAAGGGGTAGGTATAGCACGAACCATGGCCCATCCAAGTTCTGCTGATCACTGGAAAATCCGGAAATCATGGGATGATCTTCCGAATGCTGAAGATGTGATATGGATTTGGGCAAAAGAAAAATGGGGTGTTTCTTCAGTACAGTACAACTAACTACAATCATCCTGCTGTAGACTATCCTCAACTTCCACTTAACAATGTCTTTCGCCAAATTGTATCAAATTGTGCGATCTTCTCAGCAACCGATTTCTTCTATAAACTGGCCATAAAAGGCAGAATTCCCCAATTGGTGCGTTCTTGGATGTGCTGTAGAACCTTTCACGATGTTTGTCTGAAAATAAGATATCCCGGTATCCCATGCACTGGCCAACCATCATTTTCCCAATGAAATTGCCACAACTTGGAGTATACTTTTTTAATCCGTCTATCAAACTGGTTGATAAATGTGACTATTAAGCACCATCATCTTCCAAAACCAAACATAATTTGATAATCTGGGGTTTATTGTATACATATGCCCAAGAAATTGATGAGTTTGGGTGAACATATCAAACACATATGAAAGGGAGTCATAGGGTGATTTTTACCACATCACATATATCATTCTTTTGAGGCACACCAATATCAATATCGTCAATATCAAGTTGAGTCATCACTATAAATTTTAATCGCTCGCAATCTCCCTAAATCTCAATAATTCCATTCATAATCATTCTATAAAACACCATGAATCACCATGTGAGATAGTAACAATGATTCGGTCATCAGCTCGGCAGCATCAGTTGTTCTTCGACGAAGAAAAAAACAACTAAGCCGGGTCGTTGAACCTCGATCTCGGCGAACTCGCACAACGTGAGTTGCACGAAAAAAACGGAAAGCAAAAGGCGTTTTTGGAAATGAAGAATGAATATAAAAAACTATAGTTACTAAGCACTAATAGTTTCTATACTCACTGCATCAAAAACTCATTACGGTCAGTTAGCACTAATAGTTACAAGTATAGGCATGTAGACATAGAGTTCCTAGAGTATGCTGTAGCTGTTCAAATTTTACTCGCAGACTCACGCATTAATGTTCCCATACTGTGCGATGGTCCGACTGAAGTTAGGATTGATGCTGGGAGATGCTAAGATGTAAGGATCATAGACATAGGAACTGTTCGCTTCTCTATATATATATATATTGTATTATATTATATTATATTTTATATATTATATTTAATTATATCAAATTATATTATATATATTATATTATATTATATTATATTATATTATATATATATCATTTTATATATTATATATTTATTAAACATTATGATATATATATATATATTACTATATGTTATACGTGTAAATATATATATATATATACATACCTACTCTTAGGATATACTCTAAATATTATTTTTAGATAGGTCGAGATATCAGGTAATACAGGAATAGTATATGGATTATCATAGTTGATGGTAAATTATATAAGTATGTTTTCTGGAATTGGATATAAGTTGCTAAGTTTCCAGTTTATGAACCCTTGACTACCGTTTTCGCCGTTGGGATATACTTGATAGAACCCATTTGGATTTGGATAAAAAGTACCACCCTCCCACAAAATTTTGGCTCCATTTTTCACCCCTATCCCCGGCAACTCACTGCTCGGGGCTCAGACTCGCAGGAAAGTTCTTGGGGGTTGGTCTGCCTGGGTGATTCACAGGCGCCCCCGTTAGCGCCGTTGTTGACAAAAGGGGTGTGACTTCTCAGGACCCGATTGCAATCAGGTTACTTCTCAGCAAAAATTTAGCCTCTGGTTAGGTCAAAATAATGGTTAATCACGGTTAATCACGGTTAATCATGGTTAATAATGGTTGATAATGGTTGATAATGGGAGAATATACCCTCTGGTAAACAAACCGTTTGCCATTGAAAATGGCCCAGTCGAAATAGTTGATTTACCCGGGCCCATTAATAGCATGGTGATGTTCCATAGTTTTTTGTTAACGTTTACCAGAGGGTAGATGAGTTTTTGTTGATGTTTCTTGTTGCATATATTAAGTTGGTTTAGACATAGTTCAGCCCTCAATAGGACATTCCATTTGTTTTCACGGATCATCCACTTAAATCTTTTGAACAAGTGATCGCATGTGGCTCATTATTTGTATTTAGCCAAATTAGCCATCAATAGAACACTGCTATGTCTGATGCCACGAAGATTTTGGTCATGAAGCTACTGGGGAAATATTTCAATATCTCCATGGGTAAAACCTCTTAAATCATTGCCATCTTTGAGGAGTTGGTTGAATCCCCACGGGTTGTATTTCCAATCCCCATCAATGTGGTAGTTTTGGGCGCGGCCTCTCTTCAAAAACATCTTCCAAAAGCTCAAAAACCGTCCTTCAAGAGATTTTTACCCTTCAATGGAGATAGGAGTAGCATTTCACCAATCATTTCACAGGTCACCGGTAATTTCATTATTTTTTTTGGTGAAACATGTTCATGCTCATCAGCAATGACGATATTCAACGAATAAATGCAAACAATCGTAAAGCGACAGGGATTTGAATTTGGGGCCATCTGAAGCAATTGTAGCGACCGAAAAACTGCTGACCAAGCTTGATGAATACTGAAGGGAAGGGAAGGATAGAGAGTTTCCGCTCAGGTTTGTACAGTATTTCTTGAATTAATCCCAATGAACATCCCATGATGATTTTCCCATGATGATACAGATTTTACCCATGTATGAATACAATATTTACCCATGATTTTCCCATGGAAACATCCCATGAAACCACCGGCGCTATAGCCGCTTTACAACTTCATGGCATGATTAATACATTAAAGGATAGATGGGATCATTAATGGGATATCAAATTCACAAAACAATATATATATATATTTTATATAACCATTCTATCCCTCAACCTATGAATCCATATTAATCCATTAAGTCCCCAACCTTGGACATAATGGGATGATTAATGGAACATGATATAACCTTATATAACCTATAACCCATTCATCCATTCTATCCCTTAACTTCCCCAATTCAACGGTTTGTGGCCTTTGAGGTGCACGATGTACATCCGCTGCTACAAAGCGTCCCTTTGCGAGCGCTCGTTGCTGGTGGTTCAGGTGGAGTCTGCTCGTGGATAGACCTGCAGAAAGGGATTGATGGGTGGAGAGATTGGAAACAGAATTGGCATGCCATCTTGTGGGGATGTAGTGGGATATACCCTCCGGTAATCTAACAGTTTGCGAAATTGAAAATGTCCCATAAAGATAGCTGATTTACCATTTAAACATGGTGATTTTCCATAGTTATGTAAACGTTTACCAGAGTTTAACGGGATATAATGGCTTATGGGATATAATCGGATTGCAATGCATCACCAACAACATTAGTTTATAATGGGATATTCCATTGGAAAATCATCTACAGGTGGGGATATAGTGGATATTGTTTGGGGATCACTAGACAACTGCAATGCGAATTTGGGTTTGTACATACATGGTACCACCAAATGGTCATTGTACTCGGGAACATGATAATAACCAAGCAAGTGCCAAGGAGTGCCTTATGTTTAAACAAATGGTGAACATGTTAAAATTGGAATTCAACCTGGATAACTACCCATTTAACTTGTGAATAATTAATGAATAATGGATATGGGGGGTGCAGTTGTTTTCTTTTGCTTGGCATAAGCATGGTGATTTGACCTTCACATGTTGAGAGATACAAGGAACTAAACGGCTAGTGTTGCACTTTTTTCCCATTCAAAATACCTTGATGAGTTATTTGTTACAGGTCATTTTACTACCCAACATCAGCTGGGACAGGGCTGCGTTTGATGGTTCCCAATTTCCCAGAGTTGGAGATTTAAACTGCCAACGTGGAAAAAACACCATAGAAACGCTGCAAATACAGGGTGATTTGGTGATTTATGATTCACATGTTTATTCCATTTCATGGTGGTTTAGCCTTGAAGTCTGGTTTTGCAATCCAGTTTCAATGGTGGCTTCATGTTGATTCACTGATTCACGGAAAATTGACCAGCCAAAAGGCAGAACATTGGAATGAAGCAGCCAAAGAATACGGAAGAAATCAACAACATGTGGCAAGATACCCTCTGGTAATTTAACGTAGCTATTGAAAATGGCCATTCATAGTGGATTTACCCATTGAAAATGGTGATTTTCCATAGTTATGTTAGTTTACCAGAGGGTAACCTTGGAAAAAAGATGCACGCTCCACTCAGTATTATATAGGCATTTCTAATGACCCAATCATGGGTAAACCAATGACAACGGCATAGTCGATCAAATGAAGATCAAAACAATTTGCCCAAGTTAAACGGAATGTTGGGTACTTATGGTACTGGACCCATGGGATCCATTCAAGTGATTCAAGTGTCACTATTTTTTGAATCTATGGCTGGTGGTGATTCATCCTGCAGATGTCGCCAGGAGGGCAATTTGTCAAAACGACAGACCTGGGCTGACGCGCGTCCCACGGCGTCTGATGGGTGATGGGATAGGTGGACTTACCCTCTGGTAAACGTTTACATAGCTATGGAAAATCAATGAAAATCACAATTTTCAATGGGTAAATCAACTATTGCTATGGCCATTTTCAATAGCTTTTTGTGTGTTTACCAGAGTTTATGCCAAAGATAGGTTTGTTAGTCATCTTCCTTCTAAACGTTGGTGGTAAAGCATGTTCTGTCGACCAAAATCGCATCACTCTTTGAGTCCGTTCCATCCCCATGGACTTCATCAATGGGTATTGTTCATGGGGAAATGATAATAATTGGATGTTTCCCATGAATTAACTCCAAATAGATGGGTGTGAAAAATTGTGTTCCATCATAAACATTCTTCATCAATGGTGTGAAAAATGAGTATAATTCATCTATTGGATTCGGATGTTGGTTGTTTCCCCAGATTCTCAAATTTATTTCAGTAACCTAACATGGAGGTGCTGTCGTGCCATTTTTTATACCATCTTGTCGGGGAGGTATTTTTTTTAAAATAGACCTTCCATCCAGGACAGGCACCTCCATCTTCAAGTAATCAGGGGCATAGCGACATGGTGTATGGGCTGTGGTGAAGGCAATTTTTGTTGTTTGAAGCATGGCTGGCGGAGATTATATCCCCATTCTATATGTTGATGATCTATGAGTGATCCGCTGAAAAACCATCCGCTTGGGATATCCGCAACCCATGCAAAATAACTCTTTGGGATTATAACCCATCAACTAGTCTGCCACATAATTAAGCCCAGTTGCTTACAACTTCGTGTACACATCTGTAAATACATGTCCTCATGCTTGATTCAAATTCTGTTGGTTCCCCATCTTGGATGCCTCGAAAAAAACTCGCATTTTTGGCAATGTTTGCAACGAAAACCATGGTGTCCTTCAACGAAAACCGCTGGCTTACTATCCATTTATGATGGGTGTTTCTCCCTCAATGGTTATGACATTCCCTCACAAGCATTGGCAAACTTCCAGTCACTATCCACTTCCCAGTAAGCTACAAGGTGATGGCCCCCCAGTTTATGGTTGGCCAACACCCCTCATATATCTATGGTTACAATATATATTATATTTTATATTTATAATATATAATATATATTATAATATATATATATATATATTTGATATATATATATAATATTAATAATATATACATATGTGTATGTATATATATATAGGTAATTTTAGGTATATAGTATGTTCTATGTGGTAATTCTCCCACCCAACAGTTCACCTTACCCTCACTTCAGCGGGAAACCAAGGCGAAGAGGCGGCCATGGTGGCCAACCTTCGCACCCAGACGGTCTACATTTTAGAGCCGCCTGGCGATGGCCTGGCGATGTCTAAGGGATGGCCAGAAGGGATGGCTGGATGGCTTAATCGTCATGGAACCTTTAAATCACTAAACCAGCTGGATTTTTATAGCTGGTTTTATTGGGTTCAAACCTCTGGAGCCATAAAATGAAACCAGCAATTAAAAGAAAAACAATTCTATTTTAACCGAGAAAAAACCAGAGATTTTCGGAAAAAAAATCCATGAAAACCAGCTGAATTTTGGCGACTTTACAGAAGTTTATCCAAATCTTTAGAGAGACCAGCCACTCGACCAACGGCGAGTTGTCGTTGTCCATAGGTCTGGGTCAATTTCATCACGACCGAACCCTGTCCTCCCTCACTGGGAATAATGGTTAGTAAGGGAAATCATTAATAATAATGGCCTTAATTCAGGTTAGTGAAATATTATAATTTACCCAGATAGGTTCAATTGGCGACTTTACCGACAAATAAACTGGCGATGGATTCAAGAGGAGATGTAGTCAACTCCAGATGTTTATCGATTCAATAAAAAAACAGGATGCGATCACTAAGTAACAAGCATGTCCAATTTACCAAGAATGATTGTAGGATATTGTAGGCCAGTCTTTTGGCAAAATCCACTTGTAATCTTGGAAAAATGGTAGCATGGAGAGAATCCCAATACCTCTTGGTCAGAATCTGATATTTGTTGCTCAGAATCCTTTGTTGATGGTTAAAAGCCCACCTTGTTTGATGGCGCTCCAAACTACTTGTATTTTGATCCCCAGGTTTCCCATCTACTGTACATCCTCTAGGCATCCCAGAAATGTGTCTGCCTACCAATTCCCATTGGACCCACGAAACGAATTGGGGATGTAACTTATGAAGACAACTCCGAATGTAGCAGCTATTTTACATCATATGTAACATTTTTGTGGGGTGACCCATCTCCATTTTTTGGGCCTATCAACTCATAGCCCTATCCTTGCTTATTGTACCCCTTTTTATTCACCAGTTGGAACCTTCCACGTAGTCATCAAAAGGCTATTTTTGTTCCATCATTTGGCAATGATCGTTCCTGAAACATCTTGAGATTGGATGGTTACCATTTGGTAAACATGCGGACCCAATTCAGATGATTTTCCCCATGAAAAATCACTAATTTCTTGTGGATTTGAGAAGATTCGGCCAAGATGGCACTATGAAATCACAGGTTAATCACACTAAATCACCATGAAAATCTTCAATCACCAGTAAGTCCCATGAAAACCTATTGGTTTACCATGGTTTCACCCATGAAATCTAACATTCGACCACGCTTCAACCGGTCCCAACTGGTCCCCTCCGGTCCCCAGGTCCTTTGGCAACCCAAGCAGTAGCATCATGGCACGCTTTCGAATGTTGTGGCCTGCGCTCCAACCCTGGCGGGAGGCAGGATGGTTTCATGGGGATGTAATAGTCATTAATAGTGGTTAATAGTGGTTAAGAGTGGTTAAGAGTGGTTAATAGTGGTTAATAGTGGTTAATAGTGGTTAATAGTGTCAATCTGACCTCACATTGTGGTTCATAGTGATGAAATGTGGTGAATAGTGAATAATAGTGATTTAATAGTGATGAAATGTGGTTAATCATCACTCAATGTGACGGTGATGAATAGTGATGAATAGTGCTTAATGGGATGTGGGCCATATTTTCGCGGTTGTTGATGGGGTAATATCCATGAAAATAGTGATGAATAGTGGTTAACAGTGGTTTAATGGGATATAAAACCTGGTTGGTGGTTTCGAACATGAATTTGATTTTTCCATTCAGTTGGGAATCATGACCGCAACTGACTGACTAAAAAAAAAGAGGGGTAGGTACAGTATACCACCAACCAGGATAATTCATTGTAGAAAGTATATTTGGTAGCTAACATGGGTACGATATGGTACGAAAATTGCAAATGGCAACCTAGAACTACTTGCACAACTTTTTGCGTTGTTCATGGCCCTCCTTTTTTGGCGCAGATTATTTGGGTAGAAAATCGTCATGTCTATTTGATGTTGGTTGCAGGGAAAACACCATGCCCATGCCATTGACGTTTCTTGTCGACGGTGCGATCGTTGATAGCAAGAAATTCTGTAAACATATGTGACTTGTTGGAGTAGTTTGCACATTGCTTCATCAGAACTTTCTTGACTTATCTTGAAATATCTACCTATAGTATAGTATAGGAGGTTGTTTGCATTTCAGCCAATGCCGCAATGGAGGTGTGTTTTCTGTCAGGTGCGACTCTGGCAGCCCTTGCCCCGGATGAATTCGAAGGAAAGACTGCAAAGGCTGTGAAACAAGCCTTGGCAGTTCAGATCGGTGTCACCAGGTTCAAACAACGACTCTTCTCCGAAGATGGTTCTGAGATCCCGGATGATGAGGTATTTACCTCCGCTCCAGTGAAGCTTGACATGGTGGTATTGGATTTTTATCCAGCTGATGCCCAACGAAACCAACAAGTCATCTCTGCATCTATGGACAATGATTTGATCGCCCTGGAAAAGATTCTTAATAGCCCTTCCAATCCGAATGTCACAGACGAACGTGGCAACACGCCATTACACAATGCTGCCATGGAAGGACATGTTGAAAGCATGCAGCTATTGCTTGAGGCAGGTGCTGAAAAAGACCCACCAGGAAATGAAAGGATGACGCCATTGCATTTGGCAGCTATGCAGGGCCACCTTAATGCCGTCCGTCATTTGGTGGAAGTTGGTGCTGACAAAGATCAAGCAGAGAATAGCGGTGCAACTCCATTGGTCATTGCAGCTCATAACGGCCATCTTGATGTTGTCCGTCATTTGGTGGAAGTTGGTGCTGACAAAGATCAAGCAGAGAATAGCGGTGCAACTCCATTGTTCATTGCAGCTCGGAACGGCCATCTTGATGTTGTCCGTCATTTGGTGGAAGTTGGTGCTGACAAAGATCAAGCAGAGAGTAGCGGTGTAACTCCATTGTTCATTGCAGCTGAGAACGGCCATCTTGAAGTTGTCCGTCATTTGGTGGAAGTTGGTGCTGACAAAGATCAAGCAGAGAATAGCGGTGTAACTCCATTGTTCATTGCAGCTCAGAACGGCCATCTTGATGTTGTCCGTCATTTGGTGGAAGTTGGTGCTGACAAAGATCAAGCAGAGAGTAGCGGTGTAACTCCATTGTTCATTGCAGCTCAGAAGGGCCATCTTGATGTTGTCCGTCATTTGGTGGAAGCTGGTGCTGACAAAGATCAAGCCAAAAATAGCGGTGCAACACCATTGTTCATTGCAGCTCAGAATGGCCATCTTGATGTTGTCCGTCATTTGGTGGCAGTTGGTGCTGACAAAGGTCAAGCACAGAATCAGGGTACAACTCCATTGTGCATTGCAGCTGAGAGGGGCCATCTTGATGTTGTCCGTCATTTGGTGGAAGTTGGTGCTGACAAAGATCAAGCAGAGAATAGCGGTGCAACTCCATTGGTCATTGCAGCTCATAACGGCCATCTTGATGTTGTCCGTCATTTGGTGGAAGTTGGTGCTGACAAAGATCAAGCAGAGAATAGCGGTGCAACTCCATTGTACATTGCAGCTCATAACGGCCATCTTGATGTTGTCCGTCATTTGGTGGAAGTTGGTGCTGACAAAGATCAAGCACAGAATCAGGGTGCAACTCCATTGTTCATTGCAGCTCAGAACGGCCATCTTGATGTTGTCCGTCATTTGGTGGAAGTTGGTGCTGACAAAGGACAAGCACAGAATCAGGGTGCAACTCCATTGTTCATTGCAGCTCATAACGGCCATCTTGATGTTGTCCGTCATTTGGTGGAAGTTGGTGCTGACAAAGATCAAGCAGAGAGTAGCGGTGTAACTCCATTGTTCATTGCAGCTCAGAAGGGCCATCTTGATGTTGTCCGTCATTTGGTGGAAGCTGGTGCTGACAAAGATCAAGCCAAAAATAGCGGTGCAACACCATTGTTCATTGCAGCTCAGAATGGCCATCTTGATGTTGTCCGTCATTTGGTGCAAGTTGGTGCTGACAAAGATCAAGCAGTGAATAGCGGTGCAACTCCATTGTTCATTGCAGCTGAGAACGGCCACCTTGATGTTGTCCGTCATTTGGTGGAAGTTGGTGCTGACAAAGATCAAGGAAACAATAGCGGCAATACCTCTCAAGAATAAAGGTGCTCTTCAACTGGGTTCGTTTACTAAGGGTTGGATCAGATCCCATGACAAAGGTGATATGTCATGGATTAGACATGATTAGACACTTTATTTACGTTATTCCATGGTGTTTGTTTTAGTTTTCAGTCATAAGTCATAACCCAGTACTGGTTGGTGGTTTGGAACATTTTTTATTTTTCCATATATTGGCTGACCAATATTCTTCAGAAGGGTTGAAACCACCAACCAGAGTAGTTTTTTGTTCATTCCTATCACTAACTAGATGTACCCTCTGGTAAACTAACATAGCAATGGAAAATCACCATTTTCAATGGGAAAATCCACTATAAATTGCCATTTTCAATAGCTATGTTAAATTACCAGAGGGTAACTGGATGGAGGAAGTGCTCCAGTTATGTCAGTGTTTATCCCACCTGATGGGAGTTGATTACATCGGATGGATTCTCCATGAAATAAACTATCCAGCTATTGGGAATCCCCCATGATGGAAACCTCCATGTGACGGTATATTTTAATGCTACAAGAATCGGGATATAGTGTACATAGACATATATGTGTATATATATATATATATCATGTTATATAATTATATATATATATAGTCAGTGGAAATTGTAAGCAAGCTTATTGGCAAAATTTCTCTGTACCAACTTCTTCGTCGCCTGCCATGGGCAGGTCACCTTCTTCTGCATCTATTCCACCCGCCTGGAGAGGGCCGCAGCTTGGCGCGCTATACTACGCCTTGGATACCAATAGGTTTCACCCTTAAAGAAATTCGGTCCAACTTAATGATTAAATCATTGATATAATAATCCAACATTTAATCTGGCCTCACAACCTGTTTCTATGTTGAGGCAGGCATGACTAACCCCATTTTCAGACATACTCAGATGATACTCTCTGGATTGGTCATAGCCACCATTTCCCGGCCACCATCGCCATCACTGTTTTCGCCATTGCAACCAAGATTTAGCTATGATTTTCTACCTAGTTAAGAACCAGCAACTCACTAAGCAAGACGCCCACTAGAATACCAAAATCGCCCAGATACCCAGGCGAAGATTTATTAAAGCATTGATTATTATTGAGTCACAGATGCCTATTCAGCAGATCAGCAATTGTCATCAATAAATAAGCAATGGACCACAATCCAAAAAGTATTCCGTCACCGTTATCGTAGACAACATGTTTTATGAATCACAATGATACAATGGGGGCTGCCATTGGAATAGGCCGGTCCTGAGTCTTGTCAGCTCGAACGAGAAAGCGATCAAAAGCCCATGACGTCCTGGGGGATTCTAACATTGATCTGGTTGGTGGTTTGGAGCATTTTGACTTTTTCCATAGATTGGGAATAACAATAATAATATGTTTCAGAAGGGTTGAAACCACCAACCAGTGATTTTTTTTGGAGAAAGTTGGTTTGAAACATGATTTTCAGAGCGACCGGTCTAGCAGCAAACCCATGGTTTAAAAACATTTGCTACTGGTCTGCGGAGATTTGATCTTTATTGCCTTTGCTATCGTGGGTTTTGATGATGCTTAACACCGAACGCCCCATTGTCCACAAGTAAATCCTTCTCGTGTCAATCAACAACATTCAATACCCCATAGTCTGTGATTGTTACTGCCTATAAATAACCCATGATGTTGCCCAGTATCATGGGTTAAAGTTTAAACGCCAATGCTAACAGTAACGTGGTTAGACTATCATGGTGTTGTCCCACTGCCTGTGCTACTCAAAAACACCACAGTCCCATTGCCCTTGCCTGTACTAGATTTATTCACATATATCAGTAAACCATATTCCTTACATGTGTATATATATATATACATATTCCACATATGGGATCCACCATTCATAGCAGCCAACAATAAACCAGCAGCCGTTGATCGTATCCCAATTGAAAGCATTGAAATGTCAATTGAAATATCATAGCATAGCCCCATCATATGGATATAGTAACATTCATATCATCTCATATATCCCCATCATTCTATTAAATATGATAAGATACCCACGATTAGATATATATGTCTTTCCCATTAGCTAAAACCATCCAGGACCCATACCCCCACTATACATGGTGCTTTGGATAAGATAGATGAATTGAAAACAAATAACCAACATTAACTCTTTGGATAAAATAGGTTCAAATAATCAACAGTTATATCAACTCTTTGAAACCAATCAATTAGTCAATTGAATTCACTTTGACATTGAGAAAAAACCATCATCCAAACCATCAGCTATAGAAAAAACCAAAACCGCAGCTGGAAAGTTGAACCGCAGTTGGTTTTTCCATAACCCCCCCCAAAAAAAAACAATCATGACTTGGTTCCCCATCGGATTCCGAGGCGCGGTTGCTCTTCCGCCTCTCCTTGGCCTCCGCGCTGGCCGTGGTCTTTCGGCAGCTGCTCTTCGGCGCCTTCAAGCGCCACGGCCACGAGGCAACGGCACCGTCTTGGGACTTCAGTGGCCGGTGAAGGGAGAAAGTGCTGGGTGAATTTGCCCGATTTTGGATGGCTTTGGATTGATTCTTGATGGATTTTCATGGATTTTGGATGGGTTATGGATTTTAAGGATCTTTCATGGCATAGAATGGCAACATCTTTGTGGTTTCATGGGATTTAACCAGCAACATCTCTGTGCAGATTGGGAAAAACTGGATTGGATATAGTACGGGATACGATGGGAATACAAGCGCGCTGAAATTGGATTGAATTCCAACAAAAAATGTTGGTTGAGGAAGTACATAGTTGTACCCGTATTAATTACTTTTTTCCAGGTGTTTTAATTGAATCATTACTGGATTTTTCTAAATTAATCACTTTCCAAATTAATTTGGAAAGTGATAATACACTATTACTGTATTTGAATAACACTTCTGTTTAATTGTTTAATTGACTTTTTCAGCACTTTTCAAGTTGCGTTCTTAAATCGATGGCCCCTGTGGAAAAAGAAATGGTACTTGGAGGATCACCCACGGAGATGATCCGATTCGGAGCGAGCAGTTCTGGGGTTTCATCATAGTTCTGGGGATCAAAAATACTGGGAAACAGATGGGACTTGTGGGATTTTATAGTGATTGATTGGGGAAAAGATGGGATTCCGTGCCCGATGATAAAATGTGGTGATGATCAAGATGGAGTCACGGCAATGCACGATTTAGCCATTGTTGTCCAGTACGTTGGGAGGGGGCCTTCATGGAGATGTGGCAGCTTGATGAATGTTGCGAAAGCATTGTGGAAGCGAAAGGGTGCCATGATTTCTTTGTGGTCAATCAGTACCAGGACTTTATCATCCTCTGTGCTGGCGCCCTCAAAGAGTTGAGCAGCTGGACTGAAGCTTGCGAGTGTCACGGACACACGGCTACATGGTGTGTGAAAGGGGAGGAAAGCACCCGAGTTAGCAGGTGTTTTCAGCAGGTTTCAAGCAGGAATTGGATTGGCGTATCGCGCAAGGGAGGTAATTTTTAGATTTCGGTGTATGTGTGCGATAGCATTGGCTGCCAATGAAATCGCATCCCTTTCAAAGGTGGGATGATACTTTCTGAAACAAGAATTCACTGTCAGCCAGGCATTCCGATTAGGCTACATCCGAACCAGTCTGGAATACATTCGTGATGTTTGATGACCAAAGGTTCCGTCATTTGATGTTTGAAATGGTTTGCAAAATAGCATATAGAAGTCCATGGGTTCACGAACGTATCTACAAATCCTTGACTTTCCTTATGTCCGTTTACTGGAAAGTAGTTGGGTTAAAAAGGGTTGTAAGTATATGATTTGTTTGGGAAAAAACATCTTCAAGTGAAGATATGATATGGGTTGGAATGGAATGGCTTTTTCACAGGATCTGAAACACCATGGTTGTTTGAGAACGTTCCGGATTTAAACCACCCAAAAAAGACCGATAATTGCACCTGGTTACCTCAGATCTGACCTGGGTTGGAGAATGCTTCGTTTTCAATAAGGATTAGCCAACGGGAATGATTGTGCATAGGTGTGCGCCCTGCGACCCGAGAATTTGGCCGAGGCCCGTGGCCCCCACAGGGGTAGACCGGGCGTTGAAGCTGGTGATTTGTGTGAATTTTCTGGGAACATGGGAAGATTTCCTATCAAAAACTGATGTTTTTACGTTGAACATGGGAAAATTGAGGTGTTTTTTTCCAGCAAGATTTGTCCAAAATTGACGATTGATTGTAGGCCCATGAAGAATCGGGATTTGATGATCAAAATATTGGCAGACCTTGATCTTAATGTTGAAAGCGGGGATTTATTTTGTTGACATTAGACATTAGATACAATGGAGAGTAGCAGAATGGGTGTGTTTCAAAACGTTGCGAATAGCCCAATGCATGGACTTTTTTATGAGCGTTTGACATAGTCAAAGTTATGATAGATGGGATGTCTACCAGAAAATTGGATGAACTTGGTATCCGTAATCTCCCAATAGGCTTCGCCAAGAAAAAATGGGTGAAACACAGAAATGCTGAGAGCTGACAAGATGGCTTTGGTTTCAAGATAAGTGTGGAAACCAGTAGTCGTTGCTGGATCTAATTAGCAAGCATCAATCATGGTGTTTTCACGTACAGTGGGAACAAACCCATCAGCAAACAATTGTGTTTGTTGATTGCCCCCAATGTGCGGCCAGAAATTAAATGAGAACTTGAGGTGTTAAGCCATGTGTACCAAGGAAACATCTGGCATGCGTCGCAATCGCATCCGCTGTGGACAAGAGCCGGTCAAGATGTCTTGCAGACGGAGCAGCCGGTGATATCAATTCAATGGATATTCTAACCGTAACCCTATATAAGCATGAACCTGCAGGGTATATAACCCTACATAACCTTTTAAAAACCCTACATGCCCATATTAACCCCTATATAACCCCATAAAACCCTATATTCATATAATCGATATATACATATATATATATATACATAATTATATATATATATATACAACCCTCATGTTTTTTTTCGTTATATCCCCATGGCTGCCAGTTCCAGCCACCAGGCACCACCTGTCGCGGCCATGTGTTGCTTCGTGGCACGCTTGGCGTGGACGCCGCTGCATGCGGACTTCATGCAGCAGTACAGATGCTGGGATCACACCTAGGGGGGTCCGTTGGAATATAATGGGAATATAACGGAATATCATATATATATACCCTCTGGTTATTTAACGTAGCCATGGAAAATGGTCCATTTATAGATGGTTTACCTTTAAAAATTGGTGATTTTCTATAGCTACGTTAAATAACCAGAGGGTAGCTATAATATCTGGGTTCATGGTGAATTAATGATTCTTAGTGAAATAATGGTGATTGATAGTGATTCATGGTGATTCATGGTGATAAATACTATCTGGGTTAATGGTAGATTAAATACCCAACGAAGAGTTAATAGTGGTTAAAAATGATGATTGATGATGGGATTATTAGTGATGAATAGCGATTATTAATTATTACTGGGATGATGGTTTGAATTGGTGATGATTAATGATCAGTAATGCCAACCCTGCGCCATGGATTGATAAACCCCTAGGCTGTTTAATTGGAGCGGTACCATTTAAGTATATTGAGGTATCAGATTATCACTAATTGGGGAGTACCGCCTAACTAGTAAACCATTGCTTATTAATCCGGGGTTGACACTGTGCTTAATAAATGATTGATGGAATGATTAGTGGAACGGTGATGATTTGCCACTTTCCCAACGGATGATTTTAGATGGGTGATTTCTGTGAAGATCATCCGGCAACGAATTGATTGGGGAAAAATGTTTTGTTACCATCAACCATGGGGAACCTTACATTGCAACATGGTGACTCGTAAGATTAATGCAGCCTGGCTGGTCGGAAGTGTATCGTTGGGAACTGGTCAAATTGCCGCTTGCTAACGAAAGCCCCCCGGGTCGATCGCCTTGATGGAAATGACTGCGAGGAAGGGCGCAGCCGAAAAATTGCTTTCTTGGGCACTGGTGAGTACTGGGGAAATCCACGCTTCATTACTTTTTTAATCCTCCAACCATATAATTAATAAGCCTAACAGGGGTTCTTCCATGACTGGGTCATGACCGCATAGTGTGACAAGCCATTCACGATGGTGGCATTGATATCTTATAGCCATGCCTCAAATGAAATGGCCCAAATATCCAATAAAAACCGATGGTTCACCAGCTTCAGGATATAGCTGGAAATCAACCTCCCCCAAAGTTCACCAACGCAACAATTTTGGATAAGTATCCTTTTTGCCAGACAGATTAAACAGGCCAGCTTTACTTTGCTGAATGGTTTGTTAGATGCAACATTAAGATGTGTTAAAGCATCTTAAACCATACAAGATGCATTCAGCCAGATTAAACCATCCCTAACTTGGGTCAATGGCCATTTCAGGAACCGATTGATTGGAGGTACCTACCATATGTAAGGCCTATATAAGGCCTATGTAAGGGAATATCCCCAAAAAATACGGTTTTCCCTTTGATTGGTGGCGTTGATCATTTTGACCCACAGCCCCTGCAGGGCCGGTGTAGAACGGGCCGTCTGAGGATGTCGATGTTTGCGCTGGGTGGCAGTGACTCAAGGTGCAGGGAGGATGTGGACCCAACGGTTTTTAGCATTGGAAAGGGTTTCACAAAAATGGCCTTGTTCATGGGATTTAAAACTGATGGATGATAGCTAAGTTGGTTTGTAGCTCCAATAACAGGGTTATAATGAAAATCCAATGGCAATGTCATGGGAATTATAGCGCTTAAAGATCAAAAATAGATATTTTCACAGAAATTTAATGGGCAAGTAGGGTAAGTAGGGAAATGTGGCGCAATTTCTGAGTTTATTTCTGGTTTCAATACAGTTTTGACAATTGGTTTGTTGGAAAGATAATCCCCAATACATTGGGTTGCCCAGATATCCCTAACTTTATGGATATTTCGTGGGGGTGTATAATGCTGGATATGTTAAGTTGGGTTGCTCATTAATGGTAAATGACATACTAGAGTTCCATAATACTATGTGTATAATGATAAGTAATGATAAGTATAAAGTAATTTAAACAAATTCAGAATGGTGATAGAAAGCTGGAAGCCTGGAAATATGTGGTAAATGTCATCTCTATAGCGTCCTGGAAACACTTTTCCGAATCGTTTGAAGACCCCTTTATTGCTGGTTTATAATTCATAGCAACTGTTCAGATCTAGTTTTAGATATTGTCAGTACATTTTCCTACATTGGTGATTTTTGGGACATGTATAGTCAGCACATGGATGGTAGCTGCATCACAGCGTCTAGGGTTCCTTGTTGTGACCTGGATGGAGCTGCATGGCAGGTGCAGTTGATCGCTTGTGACAAAGCGGGGAATCAGCAAAGAAACTGTTGGCTTTGGGACTTTTGGAAAGTTATGGGAAGCCAACTATCATGGAAAGTTTGGAAGTTTGGGACTTCTGGAAAGTTTTGGAAAGTTATGGAATGATTGAAGTTGTTGCTGTTATCACTGTTCATTTCAGCAACAACTTCAATCATTCGGGTGGCAGTCCGGCGAATCCTAAAATAATACTGTCGGCCTAAGTTCAAACCACCCAAGAAAGCCTGGTTGAGTAGTTGATCTCACTATTCATGAATTGGACCCAAAAAAGTGGTGGCATCATCACTTCTGATCTAAGAATGCCCCTCCCATTTGGTGCCCCATCCCCCCAAACCAGCCAGAAAAAACATCACATTTGACAGCACCTCGGCGCAGGTCTCTTGTCATCCTCCGTCATCGTGGTGTTGTTCTTGTCCAACACATCCGATGCAGACGGAATTTGGTGGATGTTTTGCTTCATCACCATCATCGTCCTGGACTGGAACCAATGGAACCACTGGGTGTGGTGCTCCAAAAAGGTGGTTTAGGAATTGAAACCTTACGCGTTTTTTGGCGTCAAGTAGCCTTTCTTGTTCGTTGGGTCTTCAAGTTTCTCGCTTACACTGAACCAAATTGCTGGTGAAAGATCTTTTTGCCTCCTGAAATCACTGCTATGTCATTTGGGAGGGAAAATGTTCAGGGAAAAATTCACGGTTTCATCCTTCATATTTCCAAAAATCACTGAAGTCCTCAACTTAGTTTCCATGAAAAAGAAAGTAAACCATTTTCAGCAAAAGGTAATCTTCAACTTTTTCCATGGAATTTTCCTCAAATCACTGAACCCCAAAAACGGCATAAAAACCATGGTTTTTCCATGGTTAACTTCCCATCTTCCCTGGTGATGCACAGGACCTGGGCGTTCTGCCCTTCCTCAGCACCGTGTTTTGGGTGCTGCTGTCCAGCATGGCGTTGATCTGTAACTATGGCGCAGTACCTCGACCAGGGCGTTTGAATGGGTCAAAAACAGAGTTAGGTAAATGATGATAAATGGATTATATGGGTTATTTGGGATTATATTGGATTATACGGGTTCCAGACGGATTGCATGGGTCATATGGTCTGTAAATAATTACTAAGTGGGATTCCCTATCACAAATTGCAGTTTTTGGGTGGTATAGCCATTTCCAGACACACCCACATGGTGGTGAAATTGTTTTTAAAATGGGGTTGATCATACCCGTTTGGGTAGTTGATAGAGATATCTTAAATATTGTTGAATACTGGTGGCTTAAACTGGTTGTGTTTAAATGATATGTGTTGCAATAGTGGGAAGTGACAACAGCAATTTCAATGCCCATAAGTTAATCCTGTTTTAATGACCCCACCAGTTTTAACAGATAGGAAGTACCAATTTCAGAAACAACTAAGTCATCACTAATCAGGGGGTAACTGGCATCAATCTTCAGGGTTTGTTCATCCGCAGTTGACATTAGTTGGTGGTTTCACATGTTTTCAAATGCTAAACTGCTTGATGATGATGCCGAGTGACTTTCAGTCGGCTGTGTGGACTTGAGTGCGAGACATTGGGGGAGGTGAACCATGGCTCACAATGAACAGTACCCCTGGTATCTAACCCTGGTTATTTAACATAGCTATGAAAAAAACATGTATAGATGATTTATGATGATTTACCCACTAAAATCGGTGGTTTTCCATAGCTACATCAAATAACCAGAGGGTACATGAAAGATAATTCATTTAACATGGGGGTAAAAAATGCTGAACAGCTGATGGAAATGGATGGTGGCTTCGACAAGATGCTCCTCTTTGACGGCCTCCAATGGTCCAAATTATGAAATTTTAATCGAACATGATGCTGAATCTTTGTAAAAAAAACTGAGAATCCACATGACCACAAGACTGTGTCGATGTTAGCATGGACGTTTCCATACCAGCCATACCATCTATCCAAAAAGACATTGATATCTCTTCAATGTTTTTCAGTGTCACACCTTTTCTCCAATTTTTTTTCCAAATGTTCAAATCCAACCTTTTCCCCCAGGTTTTCCAGGAATTTCCCAACCCTTCCCCCACTTTCCACCGACCAACGGCACCGAGGTCAAGGCCCTACGGGAGCAGCTGCCCAGCGAGGACCAGAAAAAGATGCCGCCGGTCCCAGCGTCGGAGAGCAAGGCGGAGAAGGCGGCAAGTTTGGTGCGGCTGGAGATGGGAGGGATAAAAAAACACCATGAGATTTCGTGGTTGTCATTGTGGTTTATGAAAAGTTATATTTCTACGGTCTTATGTGGTTACTAGATGGTTTCTTTATGGTTTTATATGATTTTTGTTTGGGTATCATGGGGAACATGATGACGAATGAACTGAATAATGGCAATCAACTATCAAATAATGTTCTAACAGGGTTTGATGGATATTCAACGGGGAAGGGAGATATTGGAAACGTTGTTGTCATCATTTTTTGGACGCACCCATTTTTTGGAACGAGTTTAATTTTTATTGCACTGATGGGTTCAATGTGATTTGTACGGTCTTACTATTGTGTGTATAGGCTTCAGATGTCAGCGGGTCTTAAATGCATCATGTGGGTTTGTCTGAACAACTCCTACCACTGGATGATTGGAGAATCATCATTTGACCCCATTCAAGAGTGGAGGATTTCTTCCACATATGGAAAATAACCCATGTATGATTTATCTGTAAACCATGGTGATTTTGGATAGTTACCCCGAGTTATCCCATGAAAAAACAATGTTAGTTGGTGATTTACCATTGATTCATGGAATTTGCCGATGAAAATCATCACGGCATAGCAGAATGAACGCCCCAGGCTCGGGTGACCATCAACTCCGAACCTTCCGTGGTGGAGGTGGGCCCTTGGCTCGGAACAAATGTGGCAAACTGGTCATTTCACCATCAAAATGGGAAGATTCAAGGCAAAATATAGCAACATTTTGTGGTTTCAATTTCCGAACGAATCGTTGAAATGGGGAATGGTCCTCCAATACTTTTTTATGTGTTCATGTGGTAAATCATTACAGGAGTTTGAAGCCACAGGACTAGGGGGGACCCTCTTTTCTGACAAATTCACAGGTGCTATATAAAAATTAGCAGGGACAAGTTTGGCCCGTCAGAACCTTGTTGAGTTGTAGATAAACAGATTGCATTTAGCAATGTTAGCGAAGAAATGATATCCTCAGGTATCCTCTCAACTTTTTTTTTGTTTAGTGGGGTATCTTTGCCCCTGACATGGGCCAGGAGCCAAAGTCGTTGCTCTTTCGAAACAGCAGCAAGGTGTCCTCAGCGCAGGGGGTTCCACCATTTATCAAGGTGAGATTCAAACCACCATTGATAGGGATTTGTTCCACCATTCATAGATAAAGGTGAGCTTGAAACCTCATTTATCAGGATTTTTTATTGATTTTTTGATTGCCACGTTTGATTACCGGAGGGTGACATAGATTGGATGTGATTTTTCGAAGGGCTATGTTGGATATCTAGGAGTATCTAATGGGATGGTCTGACCAAATGGCTTTGTCGGAAGGTTTTGAATAGCTTGGGATATACCCCATTTTTGAACAAACCCACCTATAGATCATGTAGATAAAGAAATAGATTAGATATGATCAGATATGATTAGATATAGCTATCAACCCATTCACTGCCCAAGGTTTTCCTAGCTAATTACACTCCTTGCGTTTTTGGCCTGTTTTTGGCGCTCATTCACCAGTTTTCCAGTTGAACTGGCGACCGTTGTGGTTGATGGAAGACGAATTTTATCGCCAAAAATTGGTGGTTGAGGTACAAACTAAAGCTACAAAGAAAATGAGGTGAATGAGAATGAATCAGCCACGATTTGTTAAACCCGCAATTGGAAAATGGGGTGCAAGTCTCAGCACCAATTTTTGTGACTGACTTACTTCGTAACGAAAGTTCCTGTAGGATTGGACGCAGGGAAACTTTGTGGAACACCCGCAACTCCGATGGTAAAACCAAGGTTTCCTGATTGCAATTGTTCCTTGGAATACTCATATCAATACGGCAGTTGGTGTCATGCAATTTGGAGAAGGTGTATTTATAGATGATTTGATGATTTTACATGTGGACATCTGATTCTGTCTGTGTTTAACCGTTTAACCTTTTAGAGGTGCCAAATGGAGGAGCCAGTTTGGGGCAGTATGCTGGCAACCTACAGGTCTTATGGGTGTGTTGGAGCCACTTTTGGGCAGTATGTTGGCAACCTACAGGTCGCATGGGGCGTGTTGGAACGGGTTTGGGGCTGTATGTTGGCAACCTACAGGTCTTATGGGGCGTGTTGGAACGGGATTGGGGCAGTATGTTGGCAACCTGCATGTTTTATTGGTTGTGTTGGAGCCAGTTTGGGGCAGTATGTTGGCAACCTACAGGCAGTTGGCAACCTGCATGTTTTATGGGGTGTGTTGGAGCCAGCTTGGGGCTGTATGTTGGCAACCTACAGGTCGCATGGGGCGTGTTGGAACGGGTTTGGGGCTGTATGTTGGCAACCTATATACAGGTCTGATGGGTGTGTTGGAGCCAGTTTGGGGCAGTACGTTGGCAACCTACATGTCTTATCGGGCGGTTTGGGGCAGTAGGTTGGCAACCTACAGGCAGTATGTTGGCAACCTACAGGTCTTATGCGGTGTGTTGGAATGGGTTTGGGGCTGTATGTTGGCAACCTACAGGTCTTATGGGGCGTGTTGGAACGGGATTGGGGCAGTATGTTGGCAACCTACAGGACGCGTGGGGCGTGTTTGGGCCATTTTGGGGGAGTATGTTGGCAACCCACAGGTCTCAATTGATATCTCAACACCCCATCATTTTCTCTACTCCTTGATTTCTTAAATTGTGAGCCAAAGGATTGTTGTATACGTTGCATTCATCAACAAACCATCAAGTCCAGCTGATATGTTCATTGCTTCTTGCTGAAACTCAGCGCTTGTTTTGCTCAGTAGTCATATTTACTGCTCACAACAGGGCATCCCAAATGAATAGACAGTTTTTAGTCCCGGCAAAAGATACAGAAAAAGTTAGATTTATCACTAGTTCAGTGTGATTTTACTTTCAATACCTTTTTCATGATGATCCCACTAATAGTGATACATCCCACTAAATATGGATTAAACTAGCCATTAAAGGAAATATCAGTGGTTAGTAACTACAATGCCTATCCCATTGGGAAGTATTAGATGTATCAGTATCACTATTAACTATTTTTTTAATGGCATATAGCCATTCCCAATGGTTAGTAACTACAAACATTCCCAGTATAAATGGTTGGTAATAAATATCAATGGGAATTTTTGTAACTATTGTACATCCCATTTTCTTTCAGGGGAAATTCATCACTATTGCCCAAGCATTCCACTAAAATCAACATGACCCATGGGAATAACCATTCTTATCCATTACCTAACCAGTTTAATGTTGGGAACTTCACCAATTTAATGGGATATAATTAACTGATATAACCACCACCAATTTAACTGATATCACCATTCCCAGACACTTCGATGTCCCAGGAGCACAGCAAGGCACAGGTGGGCCAAGTTCTCTCGGTGCTGCCCGGCGCCACACCCGAGGAGGACGAGAAACGGGACGTCGGGCGGTAGGTTTTTTCGGCGAAGATGGGCCGGAACTGTGTTGGTTTACTAAGAAAACCATGAGTTGAGAAATCTACTGTAAGTAAAACGGGTTCTCATGGTTGGTTTTCTAATGGGTGGTTTACTAATCAATCAACCATTATCAACCAGTATATGGGTTGGTTTACCGTAAGTGACTTTTAAGAAAACCATGATATTGGAAAAGAACATGTTTTGTTTGTGGGTTTCTAAGAAAACCATCATCAAGTGTTAGTGCATCATTATCATGTTTTTGAGATTGATAATGAACTCCTGTCAAGACAGCAAGGCGGCACAGTACAGCCGGGGGGTTGAGGCGAAAACTGTGGATTTACCTTGGGGAAAATGCGCGTTGCCCCAGCACCCCACATCCTCAATCTGTAGAATCAGCAATAGATTGAGATATACACATGGTGGATAGTTATTTGTTGTAGCAATTGTATTGCTCGGCAAGTGCCATTTTACCGACTTGCTATGTTTGACACAAGAGATGTAGAATATACACTTGGTCACTTGGCGGTATCATGTTTAGCCATGTTTGTCATGGCTTAGCAGAGTTGAACAAACGAGTTGAACAAACCCCTTGTGAGGTGTTGGGAGAAACCTTGTTAAAAATGGTGGAAACCATGACCCAACAGTTTTGCTGTATGTCCATGTGTTTTCTGTTTGAATCACCATTTTTTCCTGGCCAAACCGCATTTTTTTGCGGTTCCACGAGCCATACCTGTTTGTATGAGGAGACAACCCAGCATCGCGATGCCTTGTCAATGCTCCAGCACTGGAAACAGTGAGACACGGCTTGTTGAATTCAGAATTTGGAGACAGCTGGTAATAGGTGTATCTGATATATCTCCAGTGATTCATCATGTTTTTTAAAAAAAATAAAAATGCATCAATAATTAACAATGGCCAATAATTTATAACAATAATGGTGGCTAATAATAGTAAATAATGGGTTTACCATGTTATGATAGTGGCAAATAACGGGCAATAATGGTTAATGGTAAATCATGGTTTCTTGAATGGGATAGCCTCTGGTCATCAACTGGAAGTCTGACGACCCATGGTCAACTGATTGGTGAATCATTGGTGAATGATTGGTCAGTATGTTCTGAATGGCTGGGAAGCAACATCAAAGCAATCGGGGGTGGTATATGCAAAATCAGGGTAGATGACTGCAGCGGGCTTATACTACAAAATATATGGGAGACTATCATCACATGGGGGTTTCCTAAAATGGAGCTACCCAAAAATGGATGGTTTATGATTAGAAACCCAATGGAAATGGATTGAGGGTCCCCCTATTGCGGGAAACCATCATTTATCATAGTCCATGAAGCGGAATCCCCACAAACACCGATCATCACTGCCAGGGTGTCCACCAAATGGGATCTTCCATGTAGCTGAGTGCAGAGAATCGTTGCATTCATGCAAACAAGAATGGGATACCAGTGGGGATATGGGGGTTTAATATGATTTGATGATATAGAAGCAACAATACGGAGACTTAATGGGGATATATATGGGAAATTGTCATTGGTAAACCAATAGTTTCTGCTATATATCCCATATATACCATTTTTTTCCCATATATATACCAGAAACTATTCCCAATAGAGGTCCATGAATTCGGGTTCATCCCTTGTTCAGACTGGCATTTGGAGTCTCAGCCGATGCACCCATCCGCGCCCACGTATTTGACGGGGCGCTTAGGACAGCAGTTATGCCCAAGGTGACTTCAAAAATAGCTCAAACCATTGTGGCCCAACAAAAATCCACATAAATCCACCAGATCCGTTTTTCTTCTACCCTGATTCTGAATGATATTGAATGATCAATGTAGATATACATATAGGGGTTTCCATAAATGGTGGTGATGGTTTATAATGGAAAGCCCTACAAAAATGGATGATTCAGGGGTATCCTATTTCAGGCAACCTCCATATATTAATATATACATGTCATATATTATAAATCTCTATAATGTTTTATTTTTGAATCAATACATATACTAGATCTGAGCAAGTGTGTGCGCAGGTAACCAGGTATCCCCACACACACACACACGCACACATGATGCGAACATGAAAAAATCCATGGAAGGCGGGGCCCCAACAGATTCCTAGAGCTTTCCAGGCGATATGCGGGGTTCGTAAGTGGGAGATATAGGTTTCGATGCTAAAATGGTGTAATTTTGAATGATTTGGAGTTACTCACCTCTTGAAAAAGTCCCATAGTTTCCCTAGCAAAGGATACGCACATGATTTGCAAATGGACATAGAGATGGAAAATCTGGAACTTATCTATAAATGGTGGATTCCCAATATCTTAACATACTGGAGGATAGAAGGTGAGGGAAAAAGAACCTATGAGGCCAACGAAGTCACCGATCACCGGCATCGAATTCGACCAAATTTTGGCCCAGTTTGAGGGCATAGATTGCGGCAGATCAGATCTGGTTGACCACAATAGGTGCATACTTGGTTCACACATGATAAGTGGGTCATGTGTATATTGGGATCCAGATATGGCGTATTTCGAGTTGTATAATGATCAATGATCATGCTTGAAATTTAATGCTGATATCATTTGGAATGTAGAGATGATTATTTCGGTCCCATTCATTGCATGGATATAGGATAAGTTAGCCACTTAAGAACCAGGACATCCAAGCCCCCGAAATACAATGGTTGAATGGCCATCCAACTTTTGTCCCAGCGAATCATCAAAAAAACATGAAAAACAATTATTATCATTAAGATCTATAAGATCTTAGATCAAGATAGGATATCAGTGTACTTGACGATGTAACCTTTGTAGATTCGTGCTATAAATTTACTGCACCGTATCTTGCCATGTGAAATCTCTGTGGTCGCGCCCTGGGATGTGCCGCGGTGTTTGCATCCCCAGCGGCACGTTTCCATCATTTTTGCCGCCTCGTTAATACAGCCGGCTGGATGATCCTGGAGGATGGCTCCAGTAAACCGTTAGTAAATCCCTGAAGATGGAGCTTGATAGGCCGGAAACATCAATGGTGGAAAAAACTTTGGAAATCCGTGGTTCTTGACTGAAATGATCCTGCATTCTGATTTTTCCTATGTTAGTTTACGGGTAGGTGGTTGACAACTGACGTATGAGAGAGAAAGCCGTTTGGTGTCGCATAGTGAGGTATCAATGACCAGGATTCATATTGACCAAGACTGGTTACAATTCATTACCAAGTATGTGTTAGTAATACTTTTAAGTGATTAGGTACCAGTTGAAAGGGGTCAATTTACCCAGTTACTTGACCCATCCTTCCAGGATTCCAGTCAAATTCAGCGATGGGCGAAAAGGAATTGGAGCAGACGTCCCAGTGAACTGTTGCACCAAAAATGTCACAATACCAGTTGAATAACATGCACTGCATTGTAGTCATGTATTGTTTCTTTTTGATTTAGGATCATAGGTACACCCCATGTACCAAGTGAATCAAATGTATTCGAGGTGCATGTGTTTCCTATTCATATACCATGACAAATGTAAATGGCGTGGTTGTTCTTCATGCTTCGGACTGCGAGAGATGCGATCTCACAAAGCATTCACTCACATCCAGATCCTTTTTTGGAACCTACCCTTGAAGGCCAAACCTGCTGCCATCGCCAAACCAGTATGTTGATAGCGATTTCCATCATAGGTTCCATCATAGGATACAACTCGCCCATTAACCATCAAGATTGTATCCCATATGTCCAAGTGAAATTCCATTTCTTGCCTGTGGGTGTTCATGGTTTATACTCCATTTCCGGCAATTTCTTGATTCAACCCCTATTTGATTTGAGTACGTTTCCATGGTTCCCCCAATGGCAAGATGGTGAGATCTTCAGCATGGTCAATTCCTGTGTTTCATGAGTTTAATGGTCTGCCCATGTTTGATCGTTGAATCCCCATGAAATCCCACAAGCTCCAGTTTCATCTTTGCTCCACTTCCAAATCTGTCCACTGCGTCTGACCAAGTCAGCCGCGTCAGTGATTTCAGGCAGAAAAGTCGAAACTCCAGTGGGAACAGAAATTGATAGTAAATTCAATTATATCTCATCATCTATATATTGATATGGAGATCTTCATATCATATCGAAGTCATGCTTTGGACTTTGTCCACACTGGGAGCTCCCCAGTGACCTCCAGCTGACCTGCCAAATGGCAGCCACAGCGCGAAAAGATGAGTTCTTCGGGATTTTTCCGTGGGAAAGTCACCTTCAAACATGGATATTTCGCATGGTTTTTGTTGAGGCTTTCTTCAAATGGATCCCAAAACAATGGCTGGGATAATCATGGGATAATCATTATATGTTGTAAATCACCCAAAAAAATGGGGTTGCGATACCCAAACCCTTCTACGACACTTTGAAAAATCGGTTCGTGGCTAGAGGCTCCACCAACACTTGGGGATTGGGCGCAAAAACCTTTTGAAACCACCATCATATACCATAAGAATATACGGAAAAAACCGTGGCAAATTTCATCCCAGATAGTTTGGGTTTCATAGGCATTTCTACCATACCATCATATACCGCATACCATTAACATCCCATGCCCAGCATATCCCATGGGATGATCACCTTGGAATTTGGAGCCAAGCTTGCCCCAAATCATGAGAAAAAATTACGGGAAATTCCTGGACATCAATTTGGGGGTTCTGAAAGCCATTGAAAACCCTTACCCTCTGGTAAACTGTTACATAACTATGGAAAATCACAGTTTTTACTGGGAAAATCCACTATTTCTATGGTCATTTTCAATAGCTATGTAACAAATTACCAGAGGGTAAACCAACCCATTGAACTAGCGGAATTCCTGACCGCCATCGCAGCTGGCTCCGCGGCTATGACGCGACGTCAACGCTACGCGCTGACCGCGCCGCTGACGACGCTGGCGGTGCTGGGGCTGTGCTCCAGGCCTTTGGGGCAATGGATATACCCTGGGATAGCTGGAAAATATGATATAGTATATGATGGCATATATAATGGTGGGATATTGATGGGATAAATGATGATGGTATATATGATATATATATACAGTTTGATGAATAATGATGAAGAATATTACCCTTTGGTATGATCAATGGGAATTTCAGGATCCTAAAACGGAGGTACTGCACCATATCAGACCATATAAGACTATATATGGTAGGTACCTCCAATTTAGGTTCCTGAAATGGCCATTGATTAAATGCTTGATGAATAATGATGGGATATATAGTGTGTATGATTCACCATTAATGTTTGAATATATGTTTGATGATGTGCTATTAATGGATATACAATGGGATATTTAGTGGGATATTTAGATATATGCAGTGGGGAATAATGAGTATATCATGGTAAATGATGGCTAATAAAGAGTAATAGTGGGATATTTAATGGTGCTCCTCCCGCAATCAAACATAGCTGGGAAATTCTCATAAATGGGCATGTCAATGGGAAACTCATCCACACATCTGGGAAGTGTCCATTGCCACGTTTGATTACCGAAGGGTAATGGAATTGCCGGGGTTAAATGGGCGTTATTCAATGAATCATGGAGATGTCTGTAAATGGGGATATAGTTTTTTCAATGGGATACGGTTCTAAACGAAATAGAAATCTGGCACTAAACTTCAACCAATAGCGGGAGGAATTCCAACAGCCATTTCATGGGGATATTGTGGGATCTGCAGCCTTTGATGATGGGGTATACCCTCTGGTAAACGTTTACATAGCGAACTGGAAAATCACCATGCTATCAATGGGTAAATCCACTATTTCGACTGGGCCATTTTCAATAGCTATGTTAGTTTATCAGAGGGTACCCTCCAAATGGCAATTTAATAATGAAACTGATGATTGAACAACGGATTTTTTTTTGGCCTGTGATTTTCAGAAGAACCCATGGTGGCAGATAGATCACCCCAGGCGCATCGAGCTAGTTGGAAGAGCTTCCTGGTCCGCCAAAACTCGAGTTCTTCAAGGAACATTCTACTAGTACATCACCAAACACTTTATTCAATATAATATACATAATTATATATAAGATTATGGTCGTTACCAGAATTATAGAACGGAAGTACCCTGTTGTTCCATAATTCTGTTTTCCTCGGAAGGTATGAAAAAAACTTATCTTAACTTACTCCTAATTTTGTTCGTCGTTCTATTATTCTGGTTTGTTCTATAATTGTGTTTTCCCTTTTTTCCCACATCTACCAGTTTCGTTCTATAATTATGTTTTCCGTTCTATAATTCTGGTTTCTGTGTCACTTTTTTCTGGGGTCCCAGAAAGATATGACAGTAACCTCCAAGGTGCCAGAAATCCGCGCGGAATCGGGATCCGGAGGAGTACGAAGGTCCTAATTTCGTTCTATAATGTTGGCACCACCTGTATATTGTGTTTGCAACATAATATATATATATATGTGTGTGTGTATATTGTATAATAACATATTTATATATTATAATATAATATACTCTAGATAACTTAATATTTTTTAAGATATGATATATAAGATATTATATAATAAATATATATATATACATAATAAATAACATATAATAGATTATATACAATATATAATATATAATATATAAGATATATTATTTAATATATAATTAATGATAATTTATATATATATATATTATAATACGTATAATGTTTTTATAACAATATTAAACTTCAGCCACATGTAAAATTATGCGTCCCAATTGCCATGTTTTGCCAATACTAAAAGTAAAAGGGCCCTTATTCATATATTTATTTCTTTATTTATGTACCTTAATGTTTATATATATAAATACAAATATAACCACACCATAGCCCCAACCCGCCATTGGTTTTATCCATGGCTTCCCACGTGGCTTCAGGCTTTGCTTCGTGGGATGGCGCGGCGAAATCGCCGGATCGAGGCGGGTTTCCTCATGGATTCATCGTCAATATCACCAACCATACCGGACCATACCCCAACAAAAAAAACAATTTGTCATGGAAAGGAAACTGTTTGATTATGTTTGATGATGATGATGATGATGATGATGTTTGATTATGATGATGATTATGTTCAAGACCAAGATTTGCATGTTGATGTTGCGACTTGCGACATCCCTGAAATGATGGTGCATGGGTGCATGGATTGGGGTTTTAGGATCCGCCGAGTCCTTTCAAGTTTACCCTCTGGTAAACAAACAAACAAACTATTGAAAATTGCCATTTATACTGGATTTACCCGTTAAAAATGGTGATTTCCCATAGTTATGTTAGTTTACCAGAGGGTATTGATGAGTGAATTCCGATAATGTTTTCCAAGTTAACTCCAGGCTAACCCTGAAATTTGATCGTTTCTCAGCAGTGATTTTGATATTTTCATCCCAAGGTTCTCCTGGGCCTTCCGGGTTTTTGTCAGGTCCGGCGTCTCCAGCCGCGCACTCAGCAAGGACGAGATCCCGGTTTTCACATCCCGATGTGGAAAATCCCACCAGTTCCATGTGGAAAGTCCAACAATTAATATGATATGCAGCCTTTGATGATGGGGTATACCCTCTGGTAAACTGTTACATAACTATGGAAAATCACCATTTTCAATGGGTAAATCCACTATAAATGGGCCATTTTCAATAGCTATGTAACAAATTACCAGAGGGTAGTCGAGGAGCAAAGTGTTGATCTAAAAAGTCGCGACCAAAAAAAAATCCTGCAGGGATGATCACTGGGTCAATTGGGTCATTATTTCCTGAGGAAAACATGTTTTTTTTTGGGGGGTGGTGGATTTTATGAAATCCCCATATTGGGTGATGAATCCATTTTTTTATCCAGGTCATTTTATTTGATCCGATACATTTCACCAAGATTTTGAAGGGTCTATGGGAAATATGATACCCTCTGGCAAACGTGTGCATAACCATGGGAAATCATCATTTTGAATTGATAAATATGATAAATCAACTATTTCTATGACCATTTTCAATAGCTATGTAACAAATTACCAGAGGGTAATTGTGCATATTGCATCTAAAACATGAACATCCATACGGCCTTCATAAACCGTGATTTGTTGAAGATGAGTGCTTATTTTCCCATTGGGAAACCCACCATGACTGGGGAAAAAATGTTGGGATAGTTTTCACCAGTAAGAATAGGGATATTGACCATTCATAGGGATATGGATTCACCTAAACATGGGAACATCATGGAATATAATTCGTGATTTTAGCATTAAAAATCAAGATGATCGACATGTTTGAAGCATCAACAATGATTATTTTACATAATTTTACTGTCACACATGGGCTTTGACCACTAAACATGGGAATAGGTGAATGATCCTTGGTAAGTTCTTGGACTAGGTGATTTTACCACCTGCTTTAAGCCAGAATCAGATGTTTGCCTACATTTGGATAAGGGTCATTGTTGTTTTAATGGCCCTCATGGAACATGGTAAGTGCTGCCATCCAAGTTGGAAGCCGCACGAAGAAATCGGATCCATTTTCAAGGCCGACCATCTTTCTCCTGGCTCAACCACCAAGTTCATATTGTTGCTTCGTTCTATCCCATTGAATACCATCCCCATATTGAGGATACCATAAATGGCCCATATATATATATATATCCTATATATATATATATCCCTATTATATACCATATATCCATCATTATCCATCATGTATTATTCCGTTGATCGTCCCATGACCCCCAAAAAATGCCACTGGTTTCTCTCAGGAGGAACAGGAGGTGGTGAAGGAGTGGCGAGCACAAGAGGAGGCGCCCTGAGAGTTGTTGTTTTTTTTACCCATGAAACTGTAGGAAACCATCGGAAAAATAGTGATCAAACCAGCATAACTGGTAGTATAATGGCTGGTTGGTGGTTTGGAACATTTTTTATTTTTCCATATATTCGGAAGAATCATCCCATTTGACTAATATTTTTCAGAGAGGTAGGTCAACCACCAACCAGAATGGGATCTGATATAATGGGAGAATATCTGGGGAAAACCATTGTGACTCGTGACCGAACCCATCGAATCATAGATTCATAAAATGATTCATAAAGCCCATGAATGTATGATTTATCAACATTAATATAAGATTACAAACCATGAAAATGGTATGATTGTATGAATGTATGAATTCATGAAATGGATGTATAAACAATACGGTTTAGATTCAGATATTATATGCCAAACTATAAATGGATGTATTGAAACAATAAGATAGGATTAGACATGAATCATATGGGAAATGGGTGATGGCAGAACCATCTCCAGTTCAGGACCAACAGTGGTTGGTTTTAATGGGGATCAAACCAATCATAACAGGATCAAATGGGAAATCATGTAGAGAAAATCACATGGGGAGAAAGGTCAAATGACAAGGTTTACCATTAAAAAAATTGTCATGGGGTTGTGCAGTTCCTGTTGTGTTGGTTTTTAAGTGAATCACCATGGTGATTACGCCCTCGGGGCTACCGAGGGAAACCATGGGCCCGCTTCAGAAGTGCTACTGCACCCCCAAGTACATTGCATACATTTGGTGTTATGATGTTTTGGACACATCTTCAACTGACTATCAAACATTACGGGTTGAACGTTGGATGACATCGGAATCCAGCCATAAATGGTGTTGTTACTGGTGGGGTTCTCTGCGAAGCAGTGGGCTTTTCCATCATTTTCAGGGATCGGCCATGAATGCGCTACCCTCCACTGTGATCAAACGTGCTTTGCCAGTAATGTTTCAGGACACTGAAGGGTACCTCAGCTCAAAAACTTATCTTTAACAGCTTGCGTTTGGCCCAACAGAGAAGTTATACCATGAAATTGTTGACAGATAAGATATTTTATGAAGATTCCGACACTTCCCCCAGAAGTTTCCCCGGATTTCCGACCTTTCACCATCAGATCTTGGGACATTTCATCGCAGCACCAGGTTTTGACGTTGGAGGAAGCGAAAGACAAGGTCAAGGGACAATTCTTGATTCCCCCGGATGAGTTGATTGCAGCTCAGTGGCAAGTGGGATGTTAGTTTTTTACAGCAGTCAGAGTTGGGGATGTCACCAGGCAAATTGCAGATTTAACCCTTCAAAATATACATTTTGGTCAATAAATATAAACGGACATAAATGGTGGCTAAGGACTGTGTGGTCCCCGCTGTAGGACAACGAATGCAGCCCAGCGATGTTTCTGGGTTTGTCCTCGTATGTGATTCTTAGACATCTACTAAAATGCATCTACAAAAAGGGGATATAATGCTGATATGATTGACCAACTTGATATAATGGTTAACCAACTTGATATCACCACTATATCACCATTAAACCATGAAACCAAATATAATGGGAAATGGGAAATCCCTCTTTAATGTTGTAAATTGTATATAACTATAACCAAGGATGATCTGCTTGGTGGCTTGGTGGTTTGAAATGGTCCCTAAAACAACTGAGGTCCCTGGGTGTCCTAATCGTTGCCAGGGTCAAATAAATGGTTTGACTAAAAAAATGTTTTGGGTATTCCATTCCACTGATTAATCTGCATTTTCCCCATTATAGCAACCCCCGAAAAGATAGAAGTTCTACAACCCCACTAAAATAATGAGAAATCTCGCCGCGTCTATCGTTTTGGCCTAGGAGAAAGCCATGCTGTACCTGGCAAAGAACCAGTGCCCCCTGTGGGAGGTTCATGGGGTTAAATAAGCTTTGTGGGATACATTGGAAAATCATCTAGAATGGTGATAAAAACAGGAGACACAAGATATTTATTCATGCATTGAGTTTGGCAGGCTTGGGTGTGCATGTGTCATCTTTAAGTGAGTCAATGAATGCTTTCATTTTGGCTCAAGTGGAGCTGAGCCAAAATAGCATTCATTGCTGTTTCTTTCCTGGCCCTGGTAAGGGGTGACCTTCCTAGACCTTGATTGAGCGGCTCACCACATCAATAACCAGGGGTGACCTGGTTGGTTACAAGCATCGTAAGGGGTGACCTGGTAGTTGCAAGGGGAGACCGTGCATGCAGCGTAAGCTTCGTGGGAGCGATATCCCGGCGGCCACCGAGGCGTCGCTCCTCCATGCTGCTGCGTTCCTGGAGTTCAAGCAGCACGTGGCGAAGCGATGCATTCTTGCTGCAGCAGTCCTTGGAAGACGCCAGAAACGGTTTTTGTACACCTCCTCTGCGGCGAGCAGAGTTCCTCAGGGACATTGGCGGCCGGGCACATCGTCTTATCCTGCGCTGTGTGACCACCCAAAGTTCGGGGAAACAACGAGTCATCGACAACGGTGACACCGGAGGGCAATCAGACCTTTCTTCCGATGCCAACATGCTTACACTATGTAGTCGCCCATAAGCCTGGTTATGCGTCGTTGGTCTGAGGACGAGGTCGCCGAGTTTTGTCACCATGATGCCTGGGAGACAGGCTAAGAGGACCTGCCGTCTGCCTACAGGTACTGCCCCATGTCAGCAGGAGAGCTTAGGCTGCGTTGTCGTCTGGTTTCACTGATGAGTGGCAAACTCCGGTATCCCAGGTCTATGCAGGCCTCTTGTTTAGGCTCCCCCTGGCAATCACTTCATTCAACTGATTTTCCCAGACTGTTGGAAGCGCTGACTCGCTGGTATTGCCAAGTTTTGACATCCCTGTACTTTAATGCCGCGATCACTGATGTCCGCTCTGCCAAGGGCTCCGGGCAATGGGCGATGAAACAACTATGCCTGATGATCGGATCTTTATTTGCGGAAGACAAAACGCAGACCATGCAGAGCACTGGCGCTTCTTTGGGACTTACCCATGACCTGAGTTGCATCAATAAGACAGGTCATCTTCGTTTTTGGGCCCGCACCAGACTCCATGGCAAAGTTCGTGATGTCTTGCCACGGCACGTCAAGCAGGCCACTTTACTCGAGGCACAGCTTCCAAACTTTATAGACTTGCAATCTTCTTGGAGCAAGGTATTTCTGGGCGAGTCGGGTATGGCGGTCTCATGGCCATCAAGGCACGCAACTGGAGCTCTCTATGGTGTTGTGCGCCTTGATCGAGCGCCCCGACCTTTTTCGACATCGACATGGTCTCTGGTTCCTCGACAACGTTGCCGCAGTCATGACCTTGGTGAGAGGGCGCTCTAGCAATTCGGGGTTAGCAAAGCTCGGCCATTTGATCCATTTGGCTCTGTTTGCACTGCGTGCCCAGCACTTGAGGGTTCCCAACACTTGCCATGCATATGAATTGACTTTTTAAGCGAGTTTCAGTTTCCAAGTAGGGGTGATCCTACTTCTGGAAGCCTGGATATTTGCGATTTCAGCAGCGCTGGCTGCTGCTGGTTTTGACTTCCCCAAGCAAGCTGGGTGTCGGCAGTGGGCACAGAAATGTGGGCGTTTGCTGTTTTAAGCAGGTTGGGTTTCCAGCAGGAGGTGATCCTGCTTGGTGTGGCCGTACTTGCTTTCGTGACATATATTGGGGTCCAAGCGGGGGTGCTCCTCCTTGATGGCGCCCAACACTTGCCATGAGTATTGCTTGGACCACAGGGGGAGTGACCACACGGCTGTGGGCCTCTGCGTTCTCAAGTAGGTTGGGTTTCAAGCAGGAGGTAACCCTACTTGGTATGGCCGTATTGCTTTAGGGGCATAGGGTTTGGGTCCAAGTGGGGGTGGTCCTACTTGAGGGTGCCCAACACCTGCCATGAATATGGCTTGAAGTTTTAAGAACAATTTCAGTTCCAAGTAGGGGTGATCCTGCTTCTGGGCAACTTGGTTTCTGGCCATTTCAGCAGCTGGAGGCTGTTGGTTACTTTGACTGCCCCAAGCAAGCTGGGTTTCCAAGTAGAGGTAACGCTACTTGAGGATCACAGGTTGCCCACTGGCACTGCCAGGGAGTGAACACAGGGCTGGGGGCCTCCGCTGTCTTAAGCAGGTTGGGTTTCAAGCAGGAGGTAATCCTATTTGGTGTGGCCGCACTTGCTTTCGTGACATAGTTTTGGGGTCCAAGTGGGGGCGATCCTACGTTTTGGTGCCCAGCACCTGCCATGAATCTGGCTCGAATTTTTAAGCGAATTTCAGCTACCAAGTAGGGGTGATCCTACTTCTGGGCACTTGTTTTTTTTTGCAAATTCAGCAGAACTGGAGGTTGTTGGGTCTGACTTCCCTCCAGGAGGCTGGGTTTCCAAGCAGAGGTGACGCTACTTGCAGGCCACAGGTTGCCCATCGACACTGCAAGGCAGTGACCAGAGGGTTGTGGGCCTCTGCTGTCTTAAGCAGGTTGGGTTCCAAGCAGGAGGTAATCCTACTTGGTGTGGCCTTACTTGCTCTAGCAACATAGGTCCGGCGTCCAAGTGGGGATTATCCCACTTGAGGGTGCCCAGCAGTTGCCATGAGTATGGCTTGAAATTTAAGCAAATTTCAGTTTCCAAATAGGGGTGATCCTACTTCTGGAAACTGGATTTTTGCAATTTCAGCAGAGCTGGGGGCTGTTGGTTTTGACTTCCCCAAGCAAGCTGGGTGGCGGCAGTGAGCACAGAGATGTGGGCCTCTGCTGTCTTAAGCAGGTTGGGTTTCAAGCAGGAGGTAATCCTGCTTGGCGTGACCTTATTGCTTTAGCAACATATGTTTTGGGCCCAAGTGGGGGTGATCCTACTCGTTGGTGCCCAACACCTGCCATGAACGTGTCGTCAGTTTTTAAGCGAATTTTGGTTTTCAAGTAGGGGTGACCCTACTGGTGGAAACTTGGAGGTTTTCGTTTTCAGCAGAGCTGGAGGCTGTTGGTTTTGACTGCCCTAAGCAAGCTGGGTGTCGGCAGTGCGCACAAAAATGTGGGCGCTTGCTGTTTTAAGCAGGTTGGGTTTCCAGCAGGTGGTGATCCTGCTTGGTGTGGCCGTACTTGCTTTAGTGACAATTGTTTTGGGTCCAAGTGGGGGTGATCCTACTCGTTGGTGCCCAACACTTGCCATGAACGTGGCGTCAGTTTTTAAGCGAATTTTGGTTTCCAAGTAGGGGTGACCCTACTTGTGGAGACTTGGAGGTTTTCGTTTTCAGCAGAGCTGGAGGCTGTTGGTTTTGACTGCCCCAAGCAAGCTGAGTGTCGGCAGTGCGCACAGAAATGTGGGCGTTTGCTGTCTTAAGCAGGTTGGGTTTCAAGCAGGAGGTAACCCTACTTGGTGTGGCCTTATTGCTGTAATGGCATAGGTTTTGGGTCCAAGTTGGGGGTGGTCCTACTTGAGAGTGCCCAACACCTGCCATGAACATGGCTTGAAATTTTAAGGAAATTTCAGCTTCCAAGTAGGGGTGATCCTACTTCTGGGCAACTTGCTTTCTTTTTTTTTTTGCATTTTCAGCAGAGCTGGAGGCTGTTGGTTTTAACTGCCCCAAGCAAGCTGGGCTTCCAAGTAGTAACGCTACTTGGGGATCACAGGTTGCCCACTGGCACTGCCAGGGAGTGACCACAGGGCTGTGGGCCTCCGCTGTCTTAAGCAGGTTGGGTTTCAAGCAGGAGGTAATCCTACTTGGTGTGGCCGCACTTGCTTTCGTGACAGTTTTGGGGTCCAAGTGGGGGCGATCCTACGTTTTGGTGCCCAGCACTTGCCATGAATCTGGCTCGAATTTTTAAGCGAATTTCAGCTACCAAGTAGGGGTGATCCTACTTCTGGGCACTTGTTTTTTTTTTGCAAATTCAGCAGAACTGGAGGTTGTTGGGTCTGACTTCCCTCCAGGAGGCTGGGTTTCCAAGTAGAGGTGACGCTACTTGAAGGCCACAGGTTGCCGATCGACACTGCCAGGCAGTGACCAGAGGGTTGTGGGCCTCTGCTGTCTTAAGCAGGTTGGGTTCCACGCAGGAGGTAACCCTACTTGGCCTTATTGCTTTAGTGGCATAGGTTTTGGGTCCAAGTTGGGGGTGGTCCTACTTGAGAGTGCCCAACACCTGCCATGAACATGGCTTGAAATTTTAAGGAAATTTCAGCTTCCAAGTAGGGGTGATCCTACTTCTGGGCAACTTGCTTTTTTTTTTGGCATTTTCAGCAGAGCTGGAGGCTGTTGGTTTTAACTGCCCCAAGCAAGCTGGGCTTCCAAGTAGAGGTAACGCTACTTGGGGATTACAGGTTGCCCACTGGCACTGCCAGGGAGTGACCACAGGGCTGTGGGCCTCCGCTGTCTTAAGCAGGTTGGGTTTCAAGCAGGAGGTCATCCTACTTGGTGTGGCCGCACTTGCTTTCGTGACATAGTTTTGGGGTCCAAGTGGGGGCGATCCTACGTTTTGGTGCCCAGCACTTGCCATGAATCTGGCTCGAATTTTTAAGCGAATTTCAGCTACCAAGTAGGGGTGATCCTACTTCTGGGCACTTGTTTTTTTTGGTGCAAATTCAGCAGAATTGGAGGTTGTTGGGTCTGACTTCCCTCCAGGAGGCTGGGTTTCCAAGTAGAGGTGACGCTACTTGAAGGCCACAGGTTGCCCATCGACACTGCCAGGCAGTGACCAGAGGGTTGTGGGCCTCTGCTGTCTTAAGCAGGTTGGGTTCCACGCAGGAGGTAACCCTACTTGGTGTGGCCTTATTGCTTTAGTGGCATAGGTTTTGGATCCAAGTGGGGGTAGTCCTACTTGAGGGTGCCCAACACCTGCTATGAAATCCTACTTCTGGCAACTGGATTCTTGCAATTTCCGCAGAGCTAAAGGCTGTTGTTTTT